AATCATGCTGTTTGGCTACAGTTTTATGTTTGATGTGATAATACGCAAGTACCCATGAATTTACATGATGTATTTTAAACCAGGGGTTCTTAAACTTTTTTCAGTCAAGACCCCTTTTTATCACTGAGATTTTTTTCACTACCCCAGGACCCCATAATATTTTTGAAAATTTTATGGGACCCCATAAGAAATATGCAAATCCGACACACATGTGAGTGAAAGTGAAAATTTTTTCACTTGTACTGTAATATACTATTGCATTATAGGTAATTAAGTTTAATTTCTAATTTTAAGACAATATTTATTATTATATATAATCTAATTTTAACAATGTGAAAATTTGGAATAAGTAACAGATGAAATCACAGTGTCACATGCAAAGCAAGTAAAATGAACGTTTCTATTATAAAACGAATGCATCGAAACGTTTTTGTTTTTTCTTTGTCTGTATTGTCTTATCTTTATCTATTTTCAGATACATTACATAAAAATACTTGGTAATTGTAAAATTATTATAGTAAGTGAAAGAAATATCAAAACTGCTAAAATTTTTGCCAACCCCCATGGGGGTCATCACTCACAGTTTAATAAACTGTTTAAAACCAACATTTTGATGAACTGTTTGCATCAGCTGTAGAAATACAGTCAAAAGTCTTTAATCCGGACGTCTATAATCCGGAATGATCTATAATCCGGATCTCAAAGCTACAAACTTTCTGCACATGTGTTTATGCAGACACGTATTTACCATACATTTCTGCGTAAACGTATGGTAAATACGTTTATGCATGCGCGTTTAACGGATGGTATAAGCTAGGCTAAAATTACCTAATTATCTATTTCAGTTAATGTTGCAGATTGTGTTGTTCCTTAATCTTCTAATTAGATCTGGCTTATTATTGTTTTGCAGACTGTTAGAGCAATTTTTATAGAAAGTAAACTTGAACTTTCGATTATATCAAAAAGAGTTTCCGATTCTTTAGCTGCCAAAGCATCTACAAAGCGAATGCATGTTTCGTTGTACCACTTCTGATAGTGAAGAAAGGGACAGAGAGGTTATTGAAAACGAAAAAATTTCGATTGACAAATTAGTCGGTATTCTCGACAACAGCAATTATAGGACTTGAACAGTGAAACTTTGTAACTGAACAAGAAATGATGTCGATTTATAGAATTAAAGAGAAAGTATTAGCACATAAAATGAAGCAACTTGAACAACTTACCTTGAAAGAAATGTTTAATAAAGTAAAAAAAAATAAATATTAAGCTTTTTTTTTTTTTTTTTTTTTTTTTTTTTTTTTTTTGTTGTTGTTGTTGTTGTTGTAAATTTTGATACCCTTTAGATCATAATTGCTCTTTATTTCATAGATTACGTTTCATATTTTTAATTTTATAAGTTCTGCATGCCATCTTACCAGATTTAAACTGATTATCTATAATCCAGAATCGCCGAAGTCCCAACGAGTCCGGATTAAAGACTTTTGACTGTATAAATATCAGCTGTCTACACTTTTGTTTTTCCTCATAAAATGTCTTGTTTCTAATGAAATACTTCTTTTTATAAGTATTCATACATAAAACAATATCTATGAGTTGTAAAGATAGCTATGACCCACAGTTTAAGAAACTGTTTTAAACCAACATTTTGGTGAGCTGTTTATATCAGCTGTAGAAATATACATATCAGCTGTTTAGACTTGTTTTTTCTCATAAAATGTCTTGTTTCTTATGAAACACTTCTTTTTATATGTATTTATGTATAAAACAATATCTATGAGTTGTAAAGATAGCTAAATAAAAGTTCTTTGCCAATATAACAAGTCACCAGTATAGTTATGCATGGACATGCAAATAATCAGAGAGTGCCAAATAATTTTTTTATAGAACTTTATTGTTAATTATAAAAAAAAAGCTAAAAATTAAAGGGGAAATGTAGTGTTTTTTTTTTTTTCCCTTTAAATGTTGTATATATATATAAATGAAGTCCTCTGCCTGAAAAAAATGGTTGGACTTCTTCAGAATATATCATAATGTGTTCGTAGCATTAGGCTGTTCCAAATGCACTGGTGGGGAATATTTCTTTAATCTTTAACTGCATGAACTCTATTTGTGTTCCAGCAAGTGTCATCAGTATTCTACCTACTTATTCATCAGTATTCTGACTTTCCTTCTCACTGTAGCTACTTTTAATTGCATTGTATATTAGTTTCTGCACTTTTGGCATTTCGCATATATTTATTGCCAACTGCACAATATTACAATTACATTATTCCCTGGCTTTCTACATGAAGCAGTTCAGAGTGTCATGATATTTATTATGGCCATTCTAAATTCTTGCAGCATTATTTTCATACTATATGCATTCTCAGAGTCAGATTTAGACTTGATAAGGCCCTAAGCTAGTTGAGATCTGGGGCCCTTTATAAGTCTGTTATAATATATTAATATATTTTAATACTATTTATACTATATTTTAATTTGGGGGGCTAAGCTATAGCTTGTGTAGCTTATACGTAAATCTGGCCCTGTGCATTCTTATTTTCTATATACAACCCATATATGTATATGATGAAGGATATTTTTGAGGATTACATAGATGCACGATCATAGGACTTGTGCATGAAATTGTAGCTGCAATCATGGCTGGTTTATTTCTTGTTGACAAATTATTCTTGAAGCAGTACAGGCATAGATCTCCCCTCCTCCTCCAACACATTCACAGAATTAAATATAGCAAAAGAAATGAAGCAGTAACAAAAACAAAAACAAAAAAAAAAAAAAAATATTAGTAGCATAGGAAGTAAGAGAAGAACTGCATAGATTCTAATTTAATACAACATTTGGAATATGGAAATTATGTTTCTGCTTTTCATCTCCAACTTTACCTCCTGCTGTATACTAAGACTAAGATTTATATCTGTTACTTGGTAAAGATTTTGAAAATTAATATAATATTACGGGTTGATAAATTTTAAAAGTATTTGAGTCATGAGCATTAAAGATCATATAACAAGTAAAAGTTTGTTATATGATCTTTACATATAATGTATGTAAACATTATATAACAAGAATTAAATTTCAAAATGACACAGTTTAGAGAGGAATAATCATCTTATTTTTAAGATAGAAAGAGGAAATAACCACAGTAAATAGGAGATTGTTACAAATAAATATAAGGATTTCGTTTGATAAATTCATTATGCTACGTATCTCCTTCTCTTCAAAGAAAAATGTATATAAGAAAATACTTTCTTCTTTTTAGGAGAAATGTGTTAAAAAGGTGAAGAAAAGTATTATCCTATGGAAAATGCAAAACATTTTAAACTGAATAACAATTTCTAATAAGACAGAATCTAAATTGAGTATTATACTGTATAACAATTAAAAAAAAAGATCGATGCACCAAGAAGAAATCATCTGATTTCTTTGAAATTTCGTATGCATAAATGTTTTGACCAAATATGCAAATGATTAAAATTTGGTATCCAATGAATGAATAATGCTGTGATGCTGAATACTGTGCTCTCCAGTGCATCCAGCAGATGTATATAAGGAGCTGTTCTTGAACTGTTGTTAAAAATTTCTTTTGCATTGCGATTTCAGATACCTTTCAACAACTGAAAAAATGGCTCGCTGCAGGATTCGAGCTTATTACAAGCAGCTGTCTGAGTTTGAAAGAGGTCGTATCATTGGATTGAAAGAGGCAGGTTGGGCAAATCGGAGAATTGCTCATCATATGAGTCGAAGCAATGCGCCGATTAGAAGATGCTGGCAAGAATGGGTGGACAATGGCAGATTTCAGCATCATGATAGTAGCAGTTGACCTAGGGCCACAACAGATTGGGAGGATAGATTGATTGTTAGACCAGCTGTCACAGTGCCTGATTCATCACTATCACCCATCAAACATGCGACCCGCACACAAGTGTCCACCATAACCATTCACATACGACTGATAGAGCGAAGTCTACGCTCGTATTGACCGTTACGCCACCTGCCAATCACACCTGCACATTGTCGAACCAGATTACAGTGGTGCTTGGCTCGATCAAGTTCGAATGATGCTGACTGGAGACGTATAATATTTAGCGATGAATCCCACTTCCAAATGTGTTGTGACGATCATCGAAGACATTTCTGGAGACACCCAGAGCAGCATGTCGAACCTACTTTCACAGTTGCACACCACATAGACCCTCAACTAGGAGTTATAGTCTGGGGTGCCATTTCTCTTGATAGTCGGACCCCTTTGGTTGTCATTAGACGCACACTTACGGCACAGCAATATGTTGACGACAATCTGAGACCTGTTTTGTTACTGTTCTTTTTGCAGTATCCTGGCCTTATTTTTCAGCAAGATAATGCTAGACCACATACATCATGTGTTGCTATGAACTGTCTTACAACTTGTCAAACACTTCCTTGGCCAGCCAGATCGCCAGATCTCTCTCCCATCAAGCGTGTCTGGGATATGATGGGAAGGCAACTGCATCTACCAGGGAATGTTGATTACCTAGCCCAACATTTGGAGCAAACTTGGCAAGAAATACCGCAGGAGGTCACCCAGGAGCTTTATCAGTCTATGCCACGCCATGTGGCAGCTTGCATCCAGGCTAGAGGTGGATCAACACCTTATTGAGTTCATTACTCTGTAGCTATGTAGCTCTGAAATTTTAATCATTTTCTATTCTGCACATAATCTTTTTATCCACTAATTTTTGTCTCATTCTTGGTGCTCCTTCTTTAGACGACTCCTCCTTGGTACATCAGTTTTTTTTTTTTTTTTTTTTTTTTTTTTTTTTTTTTTTTATTATTATTATAGAGTGTATATGTATAACATACACTGTGTATAACATACTCGAAATATTCAAATAGTTTTTGTTTAGCATGGCTTTTGTTACTCTTATTATTACATATTGCATAATATTTTTATTGCTTGTGCTTTGCTACAGAATGTTTTATAATTATGAAGTCTCACATTTGATATTTTTTTCTTTCAGCTGTTTTATGTGGATTTTTTAACAGGTATGATTTGCATGTACCGTTATTTAAATATGTATGATATTTGTTCTTAAAGCAAAAGCTGTATAAATAATTAAGCAATTATGTAATTGAAGAGTTAAATCTGATTTAATATTAATGGATTAATTCTGTATTTAATACTCTTTTTTATTATTTTGTTTACTAAAATTTTATGAATTTTGGCACAGATAAAGTTGATGAGAAAATATGTTTTAATATGCCCAGTGAATTAAAATGTAACATTATGTTATAAAATTTTCATCCAGAATAATAAAATATTGCTGTTATTTAAAATGCATGTGAGAACTTTATAGATACTTACATTGTATAAAATATTAAAAAATTGGAATTTTAACAGCAGAAATTTTGTATCAATTTTTCATTGTATCAGTCAAATAGCAGTCTGTTGTTTCTCTTTATTCTTTGTTATTATTTCTTTTTTGCACACTGTGGCCCTTCTAATATCCTCACATTAAAAAAAATTTGAAATAAATATTTGCTTTAAAGCCAAACCTTGTTTATTTTATGTAGGTTTAATAGTGCGATTAGATACTGCAAGATATAAACATAATCATTGGCTTAAATGATGATATTTTTTTTTCATATTTTGGCTATTATCTCTTCAATTAATCTTTTCTTATTATGATTTTAAGTTTTGTATTTATCTTGTAATGTGTTAAGGCAACTGAATAATGGTAGTTCGATATGGCTTGGGTTCAATTCCAGGCAAATGAGCTGGTTGCATTGTTGATTTTTGTGGTTTATTCCATGTATAATGTGAATATGAGTCAGTTTCCTCTAGAAAATCCTTCACAAAGGCATTGCTTCTCTTATACAGAAAGTCCTCGTGACTTTGTGATATTCAAATAAACAACCGACATGGAAGTCCTTTTAGGAAAGACTGACATTTTCTTGGGTAAGTACATGAGTGGGATAAGATGTAAAGAAAGAACCCAAACTAAATTGCAAATTATGACATAGTTTTGGTTTCTTATATTTGAATATGAAGGTGGTATGCAACAAAACTGATGTTTCAAGATATAGTAGAATGTTTTATTGCAAATGAGAGTACATATGAATACTTTCATCTCTTTTATTGATTCAGACAATTTGATTTTTCAAATAAAACAGTCTGAAAAACTAGCAAGATAAAAGGCTTCTTTACCATACAAAAACCGAATGTTTATGAATGAATGAAATGAATTTCAAGATCTTATTTTGTTAAAATGGATGATCTTAAAGAGACGTATTTTGAGTGGTTGGATATTGTCAATTTGGAAATGGAATTGACAGAATTTCAAGAAAACTCTGTGTGGATGAGCAAATTTGTCAAACTTGGTGAAGCATTAAAAGTTGTGAGTGGAGTGTGCAGATTCCAAATATTGCATCCAAAATCAGGAAACTTAAACTTACAATGTTTGGGTCCTCATATATTTTTGAGTATGTGTTTTCAGCAGTGACCTCTATAAAGTCAACTCTAAGAGCTTGCTTTGATTCAGATTTAAGTGAATCTTGTGTGTTAATAAACACAACTAGTATGGTGTGGTGACCTGCCTACTACAACTCAATGCTGCCAGTCTGGTAACTCGTAGCAAGGAAAAACAAAATAATGTTTATTCTATTGTTAATATAAATTCAAAGAAGACTGATATGATTAAAAATTGAATAAACATTATTTTGTTTTTTTGTGTCTATGGGTTACCAGACTGGCAGCATTGAATTGTAGTAGGCAGGTCGCCACAACTAGTAATGACCCAAATATAAATCACATGGCTAATACGATTCAGCAATAGGTATCACATTAAATGGGATTAAATGCATGTAGTTTTTTAATGTAATATTGTAGTATTTGTTTATAATATTAAATAATGTATTCTGAAAAGTGAAAAGTATATTAAGTGAAGTGTCTTAAAGAGGACACAATTTTTAAATGAAAAAAAATAAAGGCAATTAATAGTATATTTTATCAATTAATAGTATATCATATTGATACATATAATTTTTCATACTATAAAAAAATTAAAAACATTTAACATTAATTACCTTTATTTTATTTTTCACTTAGAATAAGGGCGCTTTAGAACCAAATATTGCATCCAAAATCAGACATCCTTTCATTCGCAAAGTGGGGGGTAAAGTAAAAGGGGTGGGAGACCCTGAGACTGCACCTTGGTGTGTGTTCTGCCTTGGAATTTCATCTGGGGCAGAAGCATAACAATTAGCAAGGCCTGGCGATACCTGATATGCTTAACCTGGATGCACAGGTTCTGTCCTTGCTTCAACCTGTACCGAGACATGGCTGCTGAGATAGGATAGTGGTTAGTGATGCTGACTGTCACATTGATGGGCCCTGGCTCGAATCTTGGAGAAGGCATGGATGTTTGTAAATATATGGTGTCTGTGTATCAAGGTGATGCTCATAATACATGGCAAACTGAAACCCTCCCAAGAGGTTGGTGGTCTAACCATCCCCAGGGTCAGAATTCCAACTGGGACAAAAGCTTAGCAGTTAGCCACATCTGGATACACCTAATATGCCTACGTAGATGCACAGGCACTGGACTTGCTTCAACCTGCCCCTGTACCTAGACAGGGAGATAAAAAAGTATAACAAAATATAATTACTGACTTTATCCAAATGTGCTACTCTTCCTTACTGGTCCAACCACATATGACTATATCAGCTTCATATACCTAATGGATCATGAACATGCTATCAGCATTAACATGAGTGGCTCAAAGATGGAAACAGGTGTAACTAACATGCTCTGTTCCCTAAGAATAAATTAATAAATACTCTTACTGTGCTGAACTGTAAAATATATTTAAAAATTTTAATTGATTAATTTACTGTTACCGAGCATGTAGCTGACTTAGGCTTCACTACTAAGGCCAGAAGTGATGGCCATTTTATTATGAAAGCACCTAATAGGTGGGTCACTGTCTGTAGAAAAATATCCGCTGGCCATGTGAATCCACAGTGGCAACCATGTGTGACAGATCAAATATGGGAAGACTTGCCTGTAAATACTTTCTGAATGTACCTCCAGAATTAAAACACTGTGCTTATGTATCATAGAACATTTTTTAACTTCTGCATATCTTTACAGGTTTAGACAAAGACAGTAGTAAAACAGAAGAGAAACATGCCAAATTGAAACATGAAATTAATAAAAAAACAACCTTGTGTTTGCGATAGATTTAGTCAAAAACTCAATCGATTTGGAGGGCAAGCATGTACAGGCGACGGGCACCTGGCATCTACCAAGATGGGGACACCTGGTATCTACCAAAGATAAACAAGTGCATGTTCCCCTCATCCTCCACTATCCAGTACTTATTGAAGAATTTAGGTAAAATACATGACCATACAAGGGCTAGGTGGCTGTACAGTAGCTACAGATTTGGACACATATTGCAATGCCAGAATCTAAAACAGAGAACATAAAGTTTAAAAGTAATGCAATAAATAAATAATACAATATAGAAGTGCATAAATAGTAAAATAAATTAGCAGTACAATGAAAAAGTAGGACAATATAAAACTTTGTTTTGTAGATAGGTGATGGAGGGTGGAGACACCTGGCCTCTAATGGAGGTAAGCAAGTATATATGTCCGTCTTGCTCTGACTCGAAACAACAACTCCCTGGAGCTCATGGGAGCCCCCTTCAGGAGTTTAGACAAATACAAATGCAGGTTTAGTTTAAGTTCGTGGTTTACCATTTATTGTGTTTCGCATGATTACATTATACTGCACTAAATGTTCAATGTAGCTCTGCACCACAGAATATATGCTGTTTTGTTGACTAAAGTGGAGAGATGGCTCAGGAAGAGAAAGTCTTATATTGCCTGACATATGTCCTGCCCCAGGGCTGTAATTGTGATAATAGTCTGACATACCATATCCACAGTCACACAGTTTTATACACTGGTTATCATAAATTAAGGAAAAATCACGATTACTGAAAAAAATACATATAGAATTTTATGAAACTTACCCACAATATACAACACATAGTACAGTATCAAATAACATAAAAAGAAATTACATGACAATTATGGTAGTATAGAAATTTGCACACATATAAAATGAACAAATCGAAGATGTTAGTTTGTTATAGTAAAAGTACCTTCAATATGGAATATAATCACCTCTAGAAGCAATACAGCACATTCAGCGATGTGTGATGCTTTCAATTATGCGGTCTCTAAGTTCCATAGGAAGTGAGAGCCATTTCCCTTGCAAAGGAGTTGCAAGCGTGGCAAGGGTCTAAGGGGGCTGATTGAGAGCAGCTAGATGACTCCCTAAAGCATCTCAAACGTGCTCAATAGGATTCAAGTCTGGGAATCGAGCTGGCCAATCCATGCGCATAATTGTTTCCTGTTGAAGATAATCATATATGATGCGAGCCCTGTGTGCTCCTGCATTGTCGTCCTGTAACAAGGAAGCATCACCTATTGCCCTGGCATATGGGTGCACGTAAACATCAAGGATGTCATCTCTATAAACATGAGCATTCACGGTTCCCCTTGGGAAAGCATGGAGGTCTGTACGTCCACCCAAAGAGATGCCACTCCAAACACAGACACTGCCTCTTCTGTATGCATCTCTTTCACGGATGTTTGATGGATGATAACGGGTTCCAGGTTCTCTTCATATCTAATAACGCCTACGATCGCATTCTAGACTAAACCTGGACTCATCCGTAAAGAGAATAGTCCTCCATTGCTCAGGCATCGAGTGGACATGTTGTCCTGCCCACTGCAAACGGTCCCTGCTATGGCGTGACTTGAGCGGCACGTAAATGGTTGTTTGCCTCGCATACAGACCACCTTTGTGAAGCCTTCTACGCACAGTTTGACGTTGACACGAACCTTCTGGTGGCTGCAGCAAGGGAGGCTCTAAGAACAGTCGGAGTAGCAGTTCTATTCCTGCATGCACATAATGTCAAATATCGGTCATCGGCCGCTCGTTGTAGCAGTTGCCCGTCCTTGGCTGAATCTCCTAGATGCCGAATTTGTGGTTTGAAATTGCCTCCAAAGTCTATGAACCACAGCAGGATTTCCATTTAGCCATCTGGCCACTTCTGTTTGACTTTGTCCTGCCTCTAGTCTCTCAATGGCTTTCTGTCGTAGTTCTGCAGGCAAATGATGCCTGAAGATCATTGTTACGAATCGGCTATCTCCGATTTCTGATGTCACTATCACAGTGAAATATGTGGGCTTGCTCTCAAACATGGACTTTAATGCTCCTCGCAGATGACGTATTCCCAGTGCAGCGCCACTAATTTGCATATTGGAGTTTTACTCAGTTACTCTTACTTGGCAACATATTCAAATTTTACATGGTTTGGCTTATTTTTGAGGGAGTTATGGCTATTTTTGTGATTTTCCCTTAATTTAAGATAACCAGTGTATAATAAAGCGTCTATGAGTGTCCACATTACCGAAGCACTGACGTAAGCGAGTGGTGTTGGTGAAAGGGCATTGATGGATGTAGTAGTGTGTGGTGAAAGGGATTGATTGATGGATGTAGTAGTGTGGAGAGCCTTCTGCTACGCGGACACATGTTCCTGTTTTGTAAATACCAAAGCAAAGGAAATAAAAAGAAACAGTCCGTGGCCCATAACAAAGTTGGTGATCTGTGGGATGGACACTTGTCTTTGAAGGTTAAGGGAAGAAATCTTATTTACGTCTCCTGGTATCATTCAAGTCCCATTCCTGCTGCCATTTCAGGGTGGCAAATTAAGGGTACAGATTCCTCTTCATCAGCAGTAAAGAAATCTGCAAGATTGGAAAGCAGTGGGCATGATGGTCATATTTATATCCTACAGCAGTAAACTGAACAAGAACTCTTCAATAGTTAATCATAGTTGGAAATGTAATCATAATTTTGACTGTCTTGGATTAAGTATTGAAAAGTGATGCATGTGACATTAAGAATAGTTTTATATTTGATTCTTGATGGAATGGGTTTATACAAAGTTCATCTTAATTGATATATGTTCTAAAATAGCTTTATCACATTTTTGCAGTTTCTTTCTATGTGCAACATTATAAAATAAATATTTTTCTTTCACAAGAATTTAAAAATTTCTATGAAGTTATTTAATTGCTAATGTAGTTAAACGTATTCTAAATATATTTCTTTTAAACTTTTGTAGCTATCATCAAGCGACCATGTTTGAAAATGACAGGCATTTTTCCCATCTTTCTTCTTTGGAGAGAGAAATGACATTTAGGACAGAAATGGTACTATGTACTACGTCATCTTCTTCATTTTATGTTTTTTATGTAGTGAAACATTTTATTCCTTTTTTTTTTCTTTGCAGTAGTTATATAGTTTTATTTTAAAAAATTAAATTCTTATTTAATTTGCAAATACTTTGTAATTTAAATTTAAATAAATGTTTTAGGGTCTATATTACTTTTATTATAAAGCTCTGACAGAAGCTCCATCATTTTTAGAAGGAATGCATGCAATCAGGAACGATAATCTCACAGAATATCCTTCTGTTATAAATACTTTAGAGCGATTTACATTATATCCTGAAGTAAGTACAATTGTTTTAAACATTTCATTTTTTATGGTAAACATATATGTATTCATTAGTAATAGTGCACATTTTTGTGAAAAATTTAGGTCATCATAAGCGGGTATTAATAGTTTTAATTTTATAGGTAGTATTAGCTGCCAGTTATAGAAATATAATAGCTATAGCTAATTTTTTTAATGTGAGTCTTAAAGAATGCTGGCAAGTTCTGAGAGGTGATGATCTTCCACCCATTGAAAGTTGTGAAGGTTTGTATTTTATACTTCCACATCTTTTTTTGTTGTTAATGTCTAGTTACTTCAGTTGAAAGATGCTATGTTTTTATTTTATGCATTGCAATTAAATTAATTTTTTAAATTAGTAATTATTGTGAAATTGAAAGTGGATTCCATAATATTTTTCATATATGTATACAATTTGCACTTTTTTCTAACAAAATATTAGCTCTTAGATTCAGAATTTAATTTGCTGCTGTCTTTTTACCTTCAACAGATTTATCTGCATTATTAACTGACTATAACTGATTATTATTTAAATATAGTTTGAAATGGAAGAGGAGTTTCAATTTTTTATGCTTCCTGAAATGCATTTGATTTCACCAGATAACTGTTGATAGGTAAACTGCTTTGTATAGTGTTTGGTACTTATTATAAATGATGTGTGAAATTGATATAAAAAACTTGCTGAGATTATTTAGATGAAAATTCATTTATTTCAGAACTTGTTTTCCTTGATAGATTTGTGAATTTATTCTATTTCATGTTTAAACTTAAATCAGTTTTTGCTGGTAATTACATTTTAGATTGCCTTAATATTATTACAAAGAACTAAGTTAGGAAAATATACCATGTTCCACCGCAAAGACAAGAACACTACATATCTTTCCCCACTTCCTTTTTGCCCTTTGTATTAGGAAGGAGGTGGGAGACAGGCCCAAAAAACCACCAATAAGTGACGTAAAATTCTCTATTAACTGCCACCAGTCCCGCTCTTACCGGCAACAGATTTAAGATCTTTACTTCATCATTGATTGATAATTATGTACTAATGTTTCTACTCTTTATTTGTAATGGACAGGATTTTACCACCATTTGAAAACAATAACACATCTTCACAGAATTAAAAATTAATCTGCAAACTTCAGATTGCAATTTAGTGCCTTAAAGAACTATTATCATTTAAGATTTAAATAATTAAAGAAAGCAATATAAAATGAACTAAGCAGTAAAAAAACATACATTTATTTTGCTTTCTTTTTAAAATAAAAACAATATCTATTGTTTACTCATAAAACTAAATCTTTATTGTTGAATAGAATTTAAATTCAAATATTTCAATTTTAAAAGCCTTGAAACTGAAACTTCCTTACTGTTATGCAAAATTATCAAAAAATCACCAAATATGTTGCAAACCATTGTCAACTAGATGGCAGTCCTAACTAGAGCTTATTACAAAAAGAGCTATGAGCCTTGTGGTACCGTATTTCTCTATATATATTTTTTTCAAAACATATTCACAGTTTTTGGTTTACCAAAGAGGGAAATGTTATATCATTGATAAAAAAAGAGAGATTTTACCTTTTGTTCAACTATATACAAAGGCTGTGAAATGAATGATATGTAAATAAAAGCATTTGGAGTGCAGTGTGAAAAGTTAAAAGCTAAAGAAAAGCACATGTTTTAGCAATTTGAAATAAGAATACGATTTTGATATGTTTTGAAAGGAATGGCAAAAATATGGCATTCACAAACTGTATATGAAAGGGGGGAAGAAATGCTTTTATGTTATTTTTTATTTTTAGTTGGTTAAAAACTTGGGAATAATCTTGGTGCTGTTTAAATAAGAGGGAGGGAGGATAATAGAAAGGAAATAATTTGGTGCTTGTTTCTGCATTTCTTTTTTGAATGTAGAAAGATATAAACAGGAAAAAGTGTACATGTATTTATGTTTGAATAAAATTTAAAAAGAGATTTATAGAGAGAAGATTGCAATCTTTATATTACCACAAAATTTCATCACACCTTTGGATTTTATTTTTAATGCAGATTGTAGTGTACAGAAGAAACAGAGTTGAAAGTTTTGCATTATATTAAGGGTATTAAAAATATGTTTTACTTACAGTTTTTTTTTTTTTTTTTTTTTTTTTTTGTATACTTTTTGCTTGTACTGATTGAATATAATTAAAAATCAAACTGAAAGAAAAATACTACAATGCTAAAATTTAAAATCCAATAGAGCAACTTTAATTGGGATAGAATTTAAATAGAACTCTATCTACTTCCAGGGCAATGAGATATGTATCTCTGTTCATTAGAAGTAAAAATAAATTGCAATGAAGATGGACATGTGTGATTCTTCTCAAAATTGATAGATTTTTACTCAAAATCTGTACCAAATTAAGACTTTTGGGGGGAGGGCTGGGCCAGATTTTAAATATATTTAAAGTATTTTTGCTTATTCATTTGTAATATATGCAGTAGTAAAGCATGTAAAGAAATTAATAATTGCAGTAGTTTTTAGTGGACAGATTTGTATAAATTGATATTAAGAGGGTTCTTTTTTTTTTTTTTTTTTTTTTTTTTTTTTTTTTTTTTTTTTTGTAGGTATTGGTGATCCTGCATATTTTTATGTAATATCTGTCTTTCTACTGAATGGTCTTGTCGGCTCTCTCTTGTTTTTATTCGGAACTGCTCTTAGGTTTGTAGATTTAAGTACTAAACTATGCATATTATAGTAAATTTATTAATTATTGTACTCATTCCCTGTAATGAAGTGTGCAAAAATATGATATGCATTATCACATACAATTTTAATTTTCCTACAGCACAAAACTTAACATTTAAAATAGGCAAGTGCCTGCCTTTTGATTAAAAAAAATATTTAAAGCAAAAATAAAGTTAAACAGAAAACTTATACATGTTCAAATGAATTTACATTTTTGGAAAAAGTACTATCTAATTTGTTCAACTGAAACTTGTTGAAAGTGATTATTAGTCTAATTCATTTGTTTTCAATTTTTGTCATGACTTAGTAGTCCAAGGCTTAATTTAATGTTACAGATTTGAATATAGCATTTAAAATGAAAGTGTGATTCTACGCCAGTCCCACCTTATAATGTATATTGTTAATAGTTTTCAATATTATTAGTGCTTCTAATGCTGCTTAAGTTTCAGTTATTGCTTTCAGAATGATTTGAGGTCTTTTTTAAAGAATGGAATAATAGTTTCTCATTTTTCATACTTTTGGCTACTTTTATTTTCAAATATTTTGTTTTTGCATTGTAAGTCTAAAATGAATGTTTTTTTTTTTTTTTTTTTTACACCCTCTTTCTTACAAAAAAGGAGCCAAATTTGAAAATGATAATTTAATTCTATGGTGTAGTGTGGGAGAACTTTTCTATTGGTTTTGAGTGTTTATCTTTAATTATCCAAAATTGAATTGGATAAAAACAAGTGCAAGTGATAAAAATGGTTGACTCAATAATAACTAACAGGGTAATTATGATGCTGTATATTCCATTTTCATTATCTTTATGAAACTTAGCAGGCACATAATCGAGTGAAGAGGATGTTGACTATTTACCTTTTGAGGAATAATTAGTATGAGGGCAAATGTTTCATAGTAGGCATGTGTTTCAGTTACAAGATCTCTCTCTGTTTTTGAGTGAGCATATCACATATATTTTTCACTTTAACACCATTAAAAACACTTTCAGAGATAAAAGATTATTTACATAATAAGCAATGATAATTTTTTAATTCATAGATTAGTCTATTTTATATATATTTATAAATTTATTTTTATTTATGTATAACTGTTTTAATTCCTAGATCAGTCAATTTTATATTTTATTTCTTTGCATAATAGCAGTACTGATGCTTTTTTACTATTTCTTTGATAATACATTTTTTTAATAATATGATAATTTCTTCAAGTTCTTTGTCAATTTTAATATAAAAGTTCTAATATCATGATTTTTTAATATTTTATTTTTGCATTAAACTTAATTTATGTAGCTTTCATTTTGCCTAGTTAATTCTTTGTGATTAATGATATGTTTTTGCTAGCGATTCAATATCTGGAGGAATATTATCAGTGTCCTGCTTCTTCTTTAATCATGGAGAGGTTCGTATTTGTTAATTCGTATAAGAATTAAATGAAATATTTTTAAATGTGTTCTGCCCTTAAAACTGTATATTTCAAATATCTAATGGATATGTAGGTAGTCTATATACTCCTTAGATACTTTAATACATGTGTTTGCCAACATAATTCTCAGTAAGGTGAAACCTTATAGGCATCTAAAATATCTGTATGTGTTCCTCTGTGGTCTCTGTGTATCTCAGTACACTGCCAAGTTCTGTTGTTTATTTTATTGAACATCTGTGGGATCATATTCTATAAGTCTTCTTGTACGTCATTTTTGATTTCATTAAATAATGTTTTGATAAAACCACAAAGTCCATTAGCCAGTGATATAAGATGTGGATTTATTCTTGGAGGCCAGGGAAATGGAATTAGATAACAGTTTGATCAGTGATTAAGAAGACTTCATGTAAAGGGTGATAAACAGGTAATATGGACTGTGCCATCACACTGGAAGTAGACACTATAAAGAGGTCTTGCAAGCATTTTGAAACGATTATATGTAACAAAAACAGTAAAAAGAAAAGACATCCATGTATTCAATGATGAAATAGATGTGTTCCTATTGTGGTCCATCATACAGCATTGTTTGATATTCTGCAGCAGGACTGAAGCATCATTATTCATAAAGCCCATTTTGGGGATATATTAGCCTTACATGCATCCTGTATATTTAATCTGATGAGATATAATATTAGCAGCAGAAGGGGTGTTAATATTTCAGCTTTCCTTGCATATATTATTATTATTGATGCTACATGTGGGCAGGTGTCTTATATACATATTTATAGCTTTTCTTGCACATATTATTATTATTATTATTATTATTATTATTATTATTATTATTATTATTATTATTGATGATGCATATGAGCAATTGTCTTATCTGTGGCTTTCAGTTCAGTGTCTGCCTACAGAAAAAATTACAGTCTGCTAATCATTGTTTGGGGTTAAGATTACAGATCAGTGAGCATTTGAAATACATATACATGAAAAAAATATAAAAGTATAAAATTCATTATCATAAAGCAGTAATATTGCAAGACTGTCTGTCGTAAGTATGATGCAGTAGAACATTTTAAGAATGTAATCTTAAAATGATAAATTGAGTATATAGACTGCTATATATAACTGTTGTTCTTCATTTGTGTTTTCTACAAGGAACTTCACAAGTTTTTGCCACATAGAATATGTTCATTGGAGTTGCTATGCATCAGATGCTTTTCGAGTCTGGAATATGTAGGTAGAACCTGTATCTGAGGTTGCACTGAAAAGTGTAATGATTTAAATCACTCACATATACACTAGATACTATCTCTCAATCCATATCTTGTCAAGTAATCAAGATTTGAAAATGCTCCGAAAATGAATTAAATATCAGATACCACTGAACTGCAAGAATTGCATTGAACTATCAGTCAGTTACTTAAAGAGTCCTACTCTTGTCATTGGTTTCTGAATACTTCTTTAAGGGAACTTTTGTGAGAGAGTGCAACAAAGAAATACTTAGCTCTCTGTATGAGGGGAAATTTGCAGCTTGCCTCGGTGAAGCATCAGCTACCTCATTTCCAAATACCTCCACATATACAGAAACCGATTGCATTAAAGTAGGTGACTATCAAAAGCACAAACTTTGAATTTCTTACACTAAAACATGGATTAGATTTAGTTGATTATGTCAAAATACATCACAATTATCTGTGAAAAGGGAAAATATATACTACTTTTTTTATGAATGAGTTTTCATCATGTTTCAGATTTTTTTGGCATCTATTGACCTTAATGTTAGAACAAAATAACAAGGGATTGGCCCATACCTCTGTCATGTAATTGTTCCAATCAACCATTGTGCTGTGATTTATTTGAAGCAAGCTTTGGTTAGCAAAATGGAATAAATGTGAATTCCTGACATCATAAGCAAATGCATTGTATGTCAATATGAAAGGAATTCACAATTCAGCAAACCATGTTTGTGTTCAGACTTTTTTTTTTTTTCTTCCTGACATGAGGAAAGGTTGCACAGTTTTGACATGATTATTGGCAGAATCTTTCTTTGTGAAGAATGTCTTTTTCTTGAAAAAATATGATATTAGCTTCTTCATCTGTTGATAAATCCCATGTCATAGAATCTAGTGCAGTTGAGAATTCATCCAGGAAAGCAGCAAAACCAAACACGACACCTTATCTTGCAGAACTACGTCAAAACAACTACAAAAAAAAAAAAAAAAAAAAAAAAAAAAGCAACAGATGATATGATTTTAATAGGAAAGTTCAAGGAAGGGATGCCTTTGTAGGGGACTTTCTAAGAGAAACATATCATCTTGTATTTACAGTTCATAAGGAAAGAATCAGAAAAATGTCCATGATTAGCTTTTGAAGTTAGATGTAAAGATCTCTTAGACAGAACTATGTATTTTGCTTGGTTTTTACTAGCATAAAGAAGTCTTCTCTAGTTACTGTAAATTCTGTATGAAAGATATTATTTTTAGTGCTAGATTATTTTATTTAGATATAAATATGTATATCTTTGTCTGTACCTTTCTCTCTATAGAAAATAAAATATAAAGGAGACCAGAAAGTAATGTTTTTTTTTTTTTTTTTTTTTACATTAAACTAAAACAAATTTTTAACGAGTTTTTATTTTTAATCACCCTCATTATCAATTTCGAGCAAAATGTATAGAGATGGAATTTTGGATATCATACAAATTTTCAAATTTTTTCTCACATAGAAAGTGTTGTAATGATTGAAATAAATGAAAGTCTCATGATGGAATATCAGGCAAGTATAGTGGGTGAGTCAGTATCTTTCGCTTCTATTCATTGATTTTTTCCAAGGTTCATCTTACGCAATACAGTCAAAAAGCATTATTGTGTTGCAGAATAACACCTTATTTGTTGACAGTCCCTGGACCTTTTTCAATTAAATATTGATTTACTTGATCCAGTTGTTTACAATAAAGGTCTGCATTCACAGTTTGTTCAGGTTTCAGCACTTCAAAATGAATGCTTTCTCAAATACTCCACCAAACACACAAAACACCTGGCTTAGCAGTTCATTCGGAGAGAGCCATTGCCTTTTGCATTTTAAATTATCATAAAGAACCCATTTTTTTTTATCTCCATTGATTAAGCGATCAAAAAACGGTTCTGTATTGTGCCATTGAAGCAATAAGTTGAATGTGGTGAATTAGTTTTGTTTTCTTCAGACAGATTATGGGAGACCCAAGCACCTGCTCTGCTTTTTTTACCAATCTGCTGCAAATGTTCTTAGATAGTTGACCAAGGTTAGTTAAGAGTGTTTAGCAGTTACTGGATTGTCTGACATGGATTTGCTTCCATTTCTACTCTTAATACATCATTGTGTAAATTTGTGGGTTTTCATGATTACAAGTCGAGAAGATCAAAGCTACTGCATCTGAACCTAGAAAATTACCTTTGGCATTTGCAAACATTTAATACACTTTGATAAACATCACAAATGTTTTTAGTAGCAACTGCTTTATTACTATGCCTAAAAAACTCAAAAAGCATACAATGCCAGATGTATACCTCTTTTGGTATTTGGCTGGCCATTTCACCTAAAATTGCCCCCCAAAAAATTACAATTAAATTGTGTCCAAGTAAACAAGTCATTTTAACCGTAAAATGTTTGGCATAACTTTAAAGTACACAGTGAGCTCATAAATGGTAAACAAATGCTGACATGTGCAGAAACGACATTATTTTCCTGTCCCCTTATACATTTGTGCATAAAAATAAAAGGTTTCTGTTCAAAGAATTGTTATAAAACAAGTTTTGTGCTACCATTATCTGTTGGATAATTTTATAACTGATATCCATGATGCAAAATCCGTGCAAATGTAATGATGATCTCATATTTAGTTATTTCTAGCATAAAACAGAATTATCAGAAACAAATCAACCTTTTTGTACTATCAGATGCAAAGGAGAAATTTCAGTTGATACCATGGGTAGTGCAACTAATGCAGTTACACCAGGCAGCATAATTGTTAAAATAGGGTTCGTAGCGGTCCTTACAAGTGCTTATAAGTCCTTATATTTGAAAATAAAATATAAAGGCCTTTATAGGTGCTTACTTTTTCTCTAAAGCCCTTATATTTTTGTTTTTAGTGCTTATTTTTTGCTTTTAGTGCTTTTTTTTTTAATCCTATGTTTTTAATGAACGCGCATTTTTCCCCCGTACCAAAGCCGAAACTAAATAAACAACTTTTCTTCCTTATATGCAACATCAGATGGTGAATCATACTCCCGAAAATTGCTTTCCCCCCCTTTCTCTGCATTAACGTAACCTATGGTGTGCGCGAGAGTACAGACAGGTGCACTTCGTTCTATTGGCCAAAGAATTGCGAAAACGTAGAAAATTCCGGTACATTCGGTATTCTTTTCCTCCCACCCAAATACTACACACGTTTGAATTTCTATCAAGATTTTAATAAATTTGCATTCCCGTTCCGGGTGGTCAGTTCATATTCGTGTTTATTATGATCGTTATGCTTATATTATGAGCATATGTATGAAGATTTATAATAATATAATTGCAGTAACTGCTGAAGTATAGATAAACTTCCAAAAATGGGTGTGTTTTTACACAGATTAGCTTTCTAAGGAATAATATTCGGAATGGCTTAAATAAAACAAAAGTAATTGAATAGTCAAAATAATTTCATTTTCTTTGCCAATACATTATACAGTACGGAGGTTGGGAGTTTCTCCGCAAAATCTCTAATATTGAAGCAGCGGATTTTTTTTTTTTTTTTTTTTTTTTTTGTCACTGTCCAATCTGGATTGAATACGACGAAAAGTTTTTGCGGTCTACCCAACCCAAGCGAAGATTGATTCTACTTCGGAAATTTAATACAGTCTGTTGAAAATTAGAATCAGAAACATCCCAGATTAGTAAGTCTCTTTCTTTTCCTTTATTTAGTTCTTTCTCCGAATACCGGCAGGTGTTGATTCCGATTGCGTAATATCACATATGGAAGAATTACGCCGCACGTATTGCGCAATAACATTTGCGGTATTTTGCTTTGGTAATTAATTTTGATGTTCAGTCTGAGATTTGTTTATGAACACTTAAAAGAGTTTTACTGTGCTTTAAGCAGAATATTTCTCAGTTCCGTTGGTTTTTATATGATGCGTACATCGAAATGTCAAAATCATTTATTTAGCCTAAATTTAAATCTAAAGAACGGCTACAATCTCCCCCACTCCTCTTTTTCCAGTTACTATCCGAAAAATTCGGGAATTTCCGAGTATGCTGGTTAGTTAAGCTTTTACTGTTAAAGGATGACTGAATGAAGCAATTTCCCGTCTTCTGATTTCAGAAATGTGCCTCTTTTTTACTTAAATTACTTTGCTTGGGATATATGTTAAGGGAAAACTGTTATGCAATGAAAATTTAGAAAATGTTCAGAATTTTGATTTAAGTTAAATTATTTAAATGTTAATAAGAGTGGAAAATAAATTGTATTTATTATTAGGTGCCGAACGAATACAATTAATATAGCTTATTATTATTTATTTTCTATATTTTCAACTGAAATATCATCATTAAATTTTGTAATAAAGTTTAGTTCTGCATAGTTTTTTCCCCTCTCATTGTAAACTAATTCTGTAAATTGAACTGTCATTTAAAATTAAAAAAAAAAAAAAAAGTTAATTGTTTTCCATTGTTGAGGGCTCATTCTCTTAATAAATATTGCATTGCTCATATTTTAAATTACAAGTCTAATTTTTCTTTTAAGGTTATGCGGGTGTGTATAATGTAATTAGACAGGTGCTTATTTTTTTCTTAAAATGTGCTTGAAAAGTGCTTATAGGTGCTTATTTTTTTAACTAAAATGTGGCTATGAACCCTGTAAAATGTAGAAAAGCAACAAGAAGGAAAATTTAAGGATGACAAAATTTTTAGAATTTAGGGATGCAGTAGGCAGCAAAATTTAAAAGCTGCCGAATTTTTAAAATTTAGGGAGGCATCGAGTGGCAGAATTTAGGGCCCACAGAGATTGCACCAGGTGGCAAAATATCTAGGACTGACCCTGGTTAATGCTAAAGGGCACTTGAGTTCTTTCATAGCTTCATGTTATTTTGAGAGCAGATGATCTTTGGACTTAGTTGCTAAAGATGAATATTTTAAACTAAGCTCTATACTCCAAACTTATGAATTGTAATTCTGTTTGTGGCAATAAGATACTGCAACTTTGCTAACAAACTTCCCTCCTTATTGCAGCAGTCAGCATACATTGTGCAAAAACTAGAAGTTTTATTTAAATGTTTTTCATTCATAGTGAGCAGCTTGCCATAGAATTCATTCAAGTTGTGAGTGCATGAAACTGCCTGCTAGTTCAAGCATTAATATGATTCCTTAGTTGATTAAATTAAGAACTATTTTAATGCATGAATCACTAAGAAGTTGCATAACTCCATATTTTTTATGCATCTATGGGTGTAAGTACAGTAATTAGTGAAGGAAAGATATTAGATTTAAAATACTAAAGTAGTATTATTTCATTCTATAGCTTAAATAAATGTTTTTTTTTTTTTTTTTTTTTTTTTTTTTTTTTTTAATTTCAGTGCACTCGAGTCCAGTGGACTCCTCCATTGAGAGAAAGTTTTGGATATCCTTTATTCCTACTTCAAATGATGTTAATCAGCTTGACATTGAGGTACTATGAGATGTTAATATTATATATGAAATAAAAATTAACTCATGTTAAGTATTTTAAAATAACAAAGAAGTTCATTTACATCATATTCTATATTATTGTTTCTTTAAAATTTTCTTTTTGCAAACTGATATAATTTGTTATAAATGAAATCTGTTTCATTTGAGTTTTCTAATTTTGAATCTTTATTGCTGTTTCATATAAAATTCAGATCACCTAATACTAATTCTTTTGGCAAGTGTGCTCACCAGCAGCCGAGCGGTAAAGTCGCTGAACACTGGTAGTTTGGTCCGAGGTCCGAATCCCGCGAACGGGCTGGCTGCATGGGCCTTTTCGTGGTTTTCCCCAAGTGTAATGTGTATACCAACCAGTTTCCCTTAGAAAGCCGTCCACGAAGGCCTCCTTCCCCTTAGGCAGATAGCTCTTGAGGCTTTGCCATAATCACACACACACTTTTGGCAAGTGTACTTTATTACAAATTATCAAAATAATATGTATCGAATGTGATTTTTACTATGTTCTACTTGTATTATGTTGTATTCTAAATGATTGAAGAACTGGATTTAAAATCAGATTAGAAATATTTTGGCATTATTATATAATCATCACAAACTCAGCTGTCATGAAGTAGATATTTCAGTTTGGTAATAATCTGTCATTTTTCATTTTATCATCATCACCTTTTTCATCAGCTGCCTAAATTTTATAAAATTAAACATGAACTCTTTCTAATGTTTGTTCTTTCGTAAACCTAACTATTAAAGTGAAAAACAGCATGAAGCAGCATTTATTATTCAAAAGAATGCCAGAAATGTTTGGGACATTATCTTGCAATTGCTGAACTCCTAATATTTGAATATGATTTTATCTTATTATTTGGAAAATTTAGGAACATGGAGAATAAATGGTTTCTTTTAAAGTTTATGTTTTTTAATTTTTACAGGTGTCGAAAGCAACTATTTTCACATTCAGTTATCATTGCTGTTCCTTCTGTGTTATTTATGCTATCGTGGCAGGTGAGTATTTATAAAAACATGTCTTATGTGATACTTTATTTTTAATATGCTTATTTTTATGTTATTTTCTTATATATGTTAGATTTAAGAAAATAACTTACTATCTTACATATATATATAAGATATAAGAAAATATGACAGCTGCTTTAAAAATAATTGATGACCTCGAAATTAACGATATTAGATTTGGTGATCTCCCCCTAAATTCATCTTTTCTCTCAAATTCCAGATTTTTGTATGTTACATAACGTTTTAATGCAGATATCTCTTGTCATATCAAATTAGTTGTAAACCAAAACTTTCTCTAACTTGAACTGAAACTATTGACTGCCTCCCTTTTTCCTAAACCTCTGTTTCACTGCTGGTATCAATTTCTAAGAATTTTTACCAGTTCAATCGAAGTATACCGTGTAAGGCCATTTGCGGTAATTAAAATTTTTAAAGGTGGAAGAACACCTCGCCCGAAAGAGCAAAAAAAGGACTTTTGATGTGCAATCTGTTCCAGGTCATCCATCGGTGGCAAAAGTCAAGTGCAGGTTATATACGAAGGAATTCTGAGTTCAGAATGACAAAAGAGTACCGAGTTCAAAGTGCGGGGAATTACCTAGTATTTTGGCCAAGTTAGCAGCTTACTCTTCAGATTCCATGAATTTCATCAGTTGGAGCGCTGCCTGAAAACCAGCTGCAAACTTCTCTGCAGTATTTCTTGCTACTCTAATTTTCTAAATGCTTCCAACAATCGTACTTAGGAAATTTCTAATTTTCTCGTCCTGCAGCCATGATACTTCTTCCATTATCTCATCTGGTGGGGACTTTAGCCTGGTTTTTACTTTGTCACTGTAGCTGTAGCTCGGCACTTTCTTCCCGGCAGCTTCCTGATTTTGAATGAGCTTTGGAAAGTCCGCTGCTGTGAGTTCAGGTTCCTTTGCTTTTTGCATGGTCTTCTTCCTCTCGAAGCGTTTCTTGTATGCCTCACATCCCCTGTAGGAACTTACATGCGATTGCTTGCAAAAAATGCATGTCGGCTTCTCGTCTTTTTTCAGCAGGCAAAGCTTGCTCCTATGCGATTGTCCACACTTACATCTTTTGGCATTGGTGCTAAGATGTTGGGAGTGGCCATACCTCCTGGCATCGATAATATTGCAAGGGTCGTTTCTTTGGCACAAATTTCTCCACTCTGATGTTTAGTCCAAACTTGTTATTCAGCTGGTGGATTGAATAACCCTCCGCTGTTTTCTCCAGTTCAGCGTAAAATATTGGCACCTCTCAAAATCATTTTGTCTACTTTTCCGGAATTGCTTCACCTTCATTGCTGGGAATTTCCTCTTTAATAGATCCTGTAGGACTGCCTCTTCGTTGACAGTGCTTGGAAGGTTCTTAATTACTACCCTCACAGGCTTCTCACTCTTGAGTTGAAAGGAATCGAATGGAATTTTCTTCTCTTGTAAAACTTTGGTCATCATTCTATAGTCATCAACCGTTTTAACATTCACGGGGATGGATCTTACTTTCATCTCCACCTCGAATTCACTTCTGCAATATTCAACAAATAGCTCTTGCACCTTCATCCAATCCGTGGCCTGCTGCTGCAATACAATCGGTGGGGGCGTTTCTAGATTAGCTTCTCCTTCTTCGCTTGCTTCAGGTGTACCTCCTAACAACTGAAAACGATTTCCTTGGCTTACTTCCATCGGAATAACTTTTTTTGGGATGTTTTCCTCATTTTTTCCCAATCATCATCCTGTTCTGAATCTGCATCCTGGGTTTCATCATCCTTGCGTGGCTTCTTGGCGTCTTCAAAATCAACTGGATAACCTTGTTCCCTTAGTATTCTGACAGTTTCGTCTACTCCGAATTTTCCTGTTAAATTGACTATTTCTTTTTCTTTGTCCCTTCCATTCTCCATATCAAATATTCTTTGCAATAGCTCCTGCGAACTAGATCTGCTGATTTTCTTCCCTTTCTTCATCCCTTTCGATGAGAGTACGAAATCTTCTTTCCGTAGAGGAAACATCTTGTTTGAACGAAATGAGCTTATTGAACTCCTCTCACTTAACTCACCATTGTCAGGTTCATCACTTGGAGTCCTGAAAATGGACATTTTGCTATACCCGAGGGTATCTAATCAGTTGAAGTAAACAATCACTGGCCGTGACTGGGTCAAACCATTTCGAAAATGAGAACAACAGCAATACGTCTAACATGTTCGGTCCCTTCTTCCTCTGAGTTTCAGTGTTCTCTTTTGCATATGCTTTCTTGCTGGAAAGAAGCTGCTGTTCTACACTGCTGCTTATTTGCCTAAGATGACTTCGTACTTTATTGAAATGAATTATATTTTTAAATAAAACGTATTCAACTGTAGTTAAGGAATATCTTGTCTGCAAAAGAATGATTTGATATGTGTAAAAAAATAAAGATTGTGATTCTTCAAGCTCAGTTATGCTAAATGCATCATCATGCTTTTTCACTTAGTCCTACCTTCAGTCACTACTGTCTTCTCAATTATCTACTCAATATTGAAAGCTGTTAAAAGTTTCAGTGCCTTCATCTATGCATGTAATACTTACAGATATGTTTACTTATAAATATTGTTGTCAATATTCATGCTGCCTTAATTGCTTGGGCAGTACATTCTGTTTATTTTCTTTTTGATTTCACTCTTTCCACTCAAATTTCACTCTTTAAGAACAGGTTTGCTTGTAGCTGAGAAGATTTGTAAAGTGGAAAGCAGGAAGATCTGTATATGCTGCTGGCTTTCCAAAATGTGACATCTAAGATATCAAAGCCAGGTCATTGAATAAACAGTATAATTACAATAGTCAATTGATTAAAATTATAATATATTCAACTTGTGCAGTATTAAGAAATAAATATTTTGTGTAGCTAATTCAGCTGCTGTAGTGCACATTAACACTGGAAGAAAGAGGCTTGGAATGTGTGCTTGGATAATTTCAGTCCATGGTGTTTCCACACATTGTCTAAGTTGATCTAACCTAGCCACATGTGTGTATGTTAGGCCATTTCTTTGGCAGCCATTGACGTGTTCAGTGGAGAATACAGCAGCAGAATGAGCAGGTCAAGAGAGCAATGCAACCTGGTGGGTAATGAAAAATTGCTGAACATTGTGTCACATGTATTTGCACATTATTCTGTTGAAAACTTGGCTGAAAGACTTACCAGCTTACTACATAAATTGGAAACTGATTTGAAATTAATGGATCAGTAAAAGAGGGTAGTAGTTTGAAAATGACAAGATTTAAAAAAAAAATCATTAAAAAGATATAAAATATAAAGTTAAGAAATTTTTTAACAGACTTTATAGACCATATAAAGACCAATTTTGATATTAAAAAATTCTGACTTTTCTTTTTTGCTATTTTTTAAATAATAATTATACATTTTGAATACTTAATTGTAATCTAATGTATTTATATCAGCAATATTTCTGCTTAGTTATATTACTGCTTCTATTAAATTCCTTAATTTGTTACTTTGATCCATTTGAAGTGCAAGTTAATGTCATGCATCTAATAAATGTGAAACATTGTAATTAAAATGTATGATAAAAATTCAGTTTTTTATATTTTAATTCTAATTAGGATTAAAGTATAAAAATAAAATTAATTACATTTATTGTAATTTTTAATTAAAATGTATATTTTAGTTAAGATTTAGATAAAGAAATATTGTTTAACTGAAAATTTTTCAAAAGTATGTAGAAAATCAATAATAAATTCATCATTTTGCTCCATTAATTTGGGTATTTCTGCTCTAGCATCAGTTTGCCTAAATATCTAATTGAAAAAATTGTGTCTTTTATTTCTCGGAATTTTTACAGCAGTTTTCCAGTTTTTTTTTTTTTTTTTTTTTTTTTTTTTTTCTTTAAAAAGAATGTGAATTGATATCCATTCTGTAACAAACAAAAGCAAACAAAAAAATAACAAGTTTAAACTGTAGTAGGTGGGGGCCCTTTTTAAAATTTTATGTTTGCCTGCAGAGCTTATCATTAGAGATTGTTGAGGCAGAATAACAAAACATTTTGTAACATACTAAATGATATGTAAATTTAGGTTAGCATGGGAACATTATGTATCTTCTGTATATTTGAAAAGGAAAAAAAAAACGTATATTCTATAAAAATATTTAATATTTTGAACTAGATGTATCATGAATTGAATACATTTTTATTTAAATTAATTTTTATTTAAAGAACTGCATTTGTTGCTTTTAAATAACGTAGTTTGTTAATAAATAACAAACAGATTTAATTTTTAAAATAAATGTCTTACATTTTGCCAAATGACAACAGACTCGGATGAAAAGTGATACAGTGCACTTACAATGTATGACATGTATTACGTCTGACAAAGAATCAATGCAACATTGTGTTGTTGTAAATTCAGACTGTTTCTATGGTTGTAATGTTGGCTGTACCTAAAGAGAATTCCTCAAAGACCCACCTGAGGAGGTTATACAGTACAAAGTCCATAATCCGGATGTTCATTATCCGGAATGATCTATAATCCAGACCTCAAAGCCACAAACTTTTTTTTGTATGCTTTACGCATGCACATAATGCGTTTAATGTATAATGGATGGCATAAGCTAGGCTAAAATTATCTTTACTGATTCTAAGGCATTTATTTAATATTGCAGATTGCTGTGTTCCTTATTATTCTAATTGGATCCAGCTTATTATTTTTTGCAGACTGTTAGAGCAATTTTATAAAAAATTAAGCTTGAACTTATGATTATGTCAAAAAGAGTTTCCAATTCTGGAGCTGCCAAAGGATCTACAAAGCGAAAGCATGTTTCTATGTCCATTAAAAAGTGAAATTGCTGCAAAAAATGGATAAAGGTACAGTCAAAAGTCGTTAATTCGGACACCCATAATTAGGAATGATCTATAATCCAGACCTCAAAGCTAAAATCTTTCTGCGCATGCGCCGCGTTGGCACATGCGCACAGGCGTTTTACGCGTGCGCATAAGACCTTGACTACTGCGCATATGCGTGTGCGCAAGTGCAGAATACGTTTTCTCCTGCGCGTTAATGTATAACGAACGGTGTAAGGTAAAATTATCTAATTATCTATTTCAGTTAATGTTAATGATTGCGTTGTTCCTTAATCTTCGAATTGGATCGCGCTTATTATTTTTTGCAGACTGTAAGAGCAATTTTATAAAAGTAAACTTGAACTTTCGATTATGTCAAATAGAATTTCCGATGCTGGAACTTCCAAAGGATCTACAAAACGAAAGTATGTTTTGATGTCCAACAAACAAAAAATGGAATTGCTGCAAAAAATGGATAAAGACATGAAAAATGTGACAGAGAGGTTAGTGAAAACGAAAAAATTTCGTTTGGCAAGTTAGTCGGTATTCTCGGAACAGCAATTAACGGGACTTGAACAGCGGAACTTTGTAACTGAACAAGAAATTATGTCTGTTTATAGAATTAAAGAGAAAGTATTATCACATAAAACGAAGCAACTTAAACAACTTACATTGAAAGAAATGTTTAATAAAGTAAATAAATATTAAGCTTTTTTTTTTTTTTTTTTTTTTTTTTTTTTTTTGTAAATTTTGATACCCTTTAGATCATAATTGTTCTTTATTTCATAAATTACGGTTTCATATTTTTAATTTTAGAATTTCTGCATGCCATCTTACGAAATTTAAACTGATGATCTATAATCCGGAAAAATCGATAATCCAGAATCGCCGAAGTCCCGACGAGTCCGGATTAACGACTTTTGACTGTATATCCGTCTCAAAATTATGCGAGGAGTAAGACATTGGAAAGTCAACTGTATATGACATAAGCAAAAAGAAAAAGGAACTTTTTGAATTTTTGTGGATTCCGACACCCCACTTGCAATGAATAACAGAAAAAGGGTTTGTTATGCTAAAAGTGACAATTATGACAAAGTGATAATTGAATGGGTAGGACAGCATCGCAGCGAGGGCATGCCATTGACGGATCCAATGCTAATGATGCAAGCCAAAATACTTCATGAATGAATGAGCTTAAACATTGAGTGCACATATTCGACAGGTTGGTTAACCAAATTTAAAAATCGCCATGGTATAAGACAATTAAAAATTTCAGGTGAAAATGCTTCAGCTGATACTGAAGCTGCTGAACAATTTGCAGAAGAATTCATTGAATTCATTATTAGTGAACAATTATCTCCAGAACAAATTTACAGTGCTGATGATACTGGTCTTTTCTGGTGATATGTACTGTGAAATACCTTTGCAACCTCTACAGAAAAGGCTCCAACTGTTGTCAAAGATTCCAAAGTGAGACTAACAATTTTAGCCTGCGCAAATGCTGCAGAAATGCACAAGTGCAAACTTTTCGTGATCGGAAAACTTGCACGACCTTAAGTATGTAAAGGAGTAACGATTTTCCCCGTTATATGTCACGCTAATAAAAGAGCATGGATGACACAAGATTGATGAATGATTGATTTGAAAATCATTTTATACCCAAGGCTCAGTGACATTTGAATTCAGTTGGTTTACCTGATGACTCAAAAATAGTCCTGATCATTGACACCTGTTTGGTGCATACTTCACTTAAAGTTTTAGTGAAAAGATAATGTATCCATATTATTCTTCCCTCCAAATTGTACATCTATCATTCAGCCTATGGATATGGGAATAGTGCACACGTTGAAATGCAAATATGAAGTAGCATTTTTAAAATCTATGTTACATTTCGTGAACAATGTCAAGACTATTCAAGACTTTTTGAAATTTTTTAGCATAAAATGTGCTGTGTGGCACATCGCAAGATCGTGGGAGGATGTGTCTCCAGATACATTAAAAAATGCTTGTCATAATTTACGGCCAGCTACCATATTTTATGGTAAGGACGATGAAGATGACAGCCGCGAATTTGAAGGTTTTCGGACATTGCAAACTAAAGGTGAAATTTTCCAGTTATTGTATTTTGTAAAGAAATGTGGAGAAGCGGTAATAAATGAAGATGATACAACAGAAGTTTTTCATTGCGACGACAATGCCCCAATCATCAGTCAATTAACGGACGGCAAAACATGTAGTATGGTTCTAGATCCAGGAAATACCGCTTTCAATAGTGAAGAAAGTGACAGAGAGGTTATTGAAAACGAAAAAATTTTGATTGACAAGTTAGTCAGTATTCTCGACACAACAATTACAGGATTTGAACAGTGGAACTTTGTAACTGAAGAAGAAATTATGTCTGTTTATAGAATTAAAGAGAAAGTATTAACACAAAAAACGAAGCAACTTAAACAACTTACATTGAAGGAAATGTTTAATAAAGTAAACAAATAAATATTCAGCTTTTTTTTTTTTTTTTTTTTTTTTTGTAAATTTTAATACCATTTAGATCATAATTTCTCTTTATAATTTCTGCATGCCATCTTACCATACTTAAATTGATGATCTGTAATCCGGAAAAACCCCTGATCTGGAATCACCGAAGTCCTGACAAGTCCGGATCATGGACTTTGTACTGTACTACCAAATCAACAAGCATTGAGGGTCATAATGATGAAACGTGACACTTAGCAGTATTTCTAACATGCTGCACGTCAGAATGTGACAGTTGAGCTATGAAGGATGATTTGATGCATGGACCAAACCTATTGCCATGACCACAATGATGGCTTTTATTTCCACCACTCAGCAGAACCTACTTGCATTTCCTGAACATCTAATATCGCATAGAATCATTGGACAATGCTGACAGAATATGGACTGCTTTGCCTCTGTTTCTTATGGATATATACCATTAATGCTGGTAATGACATTTTTTGTGATATTGTGCCTTGTGGATTATAGTGGACTGGAATCATATTGTTTTCATCAATGAATCCATGTTGTCATTTGGCTTGGGCAACCACTTCTATGCACTGCTACATGGCCATGTGTGCATACAGCCAGGCCAATTCTGCTCATTCCATATTAATGTAAAATGGCATTTTATGCCAGACATTACCATTCAGGGTGCTATTGCATATAATTTGTTAACTTTAAACATCCTGTGCACACCTGTGTAGTGGGCAAAGCGTGTGTGGGTGTAAGAGGGCTTCTTTGAAGGGGATTCAATTCCTAATCCTATCATGTGAATACAGTGCAAAGTCCATAATCCGGACTCGTCGGGACTTCGGCGATTCCGGATTAGGAGTTTTTCTGAATTATAGATCATCAATTTAAATCTAGTAAGATGATGGCATGCAGAAATTATAAAATTAAAAATATGAAACCGTAATTTATGAAATAAAGAGCAATTATGATCTAAAGGGTATCAAATTTTACAAAAAAAAAAAAAAAAAAGCTATTTGTTTACTTTATTAAACATTTCTTTCAACGTGCACATGCGTAAAGCATACATTACGCATAGTCGAAATTAGAAAATTGCAACCAGAAAACTATTTGATGTGTATCTGTGATATTTATAATGATGAGGAAATTGATTTAAATTATATCAAAGATGGAGTACATCGAGATGAAATACTACATTTAGTAAGGAATTATAAGCCGAATAAAATAAAAACATCTGTCCCTAAAGATGAGGATAGTGCTGACAGATCAACTTCCAGTTCATTGTGCGCCGTGACGTCCCCCCCCCCCCCCCGCGAGCAGTGTGAAATTGATAAACAGATTTCGGAATAGTTAGAGAAACAAATTATTAAGCCAAGCTGTTCTGATTACACAAGTAATATTGTGCTAAGTAGAAAAAAATGTGGTTCATTTAGACTATGTCTGGACTTAAACGACACTTAAAACCTGGTGAATCCCTTTCCGAATATTTAATTGCCATGCATGAAATAGCCACTCATGGTTCTGTTGATGATTCATCAATTCTTTATTATGTAATCAGTGGAATACCGAATCAGAGTAGTAACAAAAATTTTTTTATGGGTGTAAAACTATTTCTGAATTCAAAGAGAAATTGAAAATTTATGAGAAAATCTGCATTCCAGATATGAAGAATAAGGGTTATTCAAGTACTAACACACAAAATAAAGCATGCGCTATACCTCATAAGAGTACAGAACCAAGGTGTTATGACTGTGGAAGTATAGGACGTGTAATGTATGAACATTCTTTACGCTCATGCGTAAAGCATACAAAAAAAAAGTTTGTGGCTTTGAGGTCCAGATAATGGACGTCTGGATTATGGACTTTGTACTGTAATATATTTTTCCCAGCGAAAGGCCGGATACGTTTTAGACAGACCTCTTATGTGCAGTATTTCCAGATATATTGACACCTGCAGTCTTATTCCATATTAATTTGTAACAGTTGTGGATTGCTTTTGTTGCAACAAATGATATTAGTGATTCTCTAGCTGTTTTCATGTTTATCTCATTATCTTCTTTATCTCAGCTGTTTTCATGTTATGCCTTTAACCAGTTTTTTTCATTATCCTCTTTTTTTTCCAGATCCATGGATTTTGTTACTACAAAATTGTTATGTAAAAATTATTAATACTTTTTTTTTTTTTTTTTTCCTTTTCCCAGTTTGCTCAGTTTGCTTTCCTAACCCAGATATTAGTTTTATTTGGCTTGTATCTGCTAGATGGTGTTTCATCTGATGCCTTGAAATGTATTCTGAAGGGACATATAGTACGTATTTTATTCTGAAGCCATTCTAATTTTAAACATACTTTAAGTTAATAATTAATTATTGATAATTCCAGATTTATTAAATTCTGTAGCATTGATTAATAAATGTAGAGTGTCACCATCATCATCAATTCAGAGGTAAACAAGATAATGAAGATATAATTTGTTTTACAGTATGTTAATAAAAGTAAAGTTTTTATTTGTAGTATAAATATTTAAAAGTTGTAAATAATAGAATAAAATGCATTGTTTGTAGCATAAGTATAAAGTTCCAAGTATTTATGTTTGTAAACAGCTTCATATTTTTTCAATTTTAATTAAAATATTTGGAATTCCATGTACAAGTAGCAATTTTAATAAAGAGAGTCCTTTTAATATTAAATTTTCAGGTTTCATGAAATGAAATTATATTATTCAGTCCAAGAAATATTCCCATGAAGAAATGTGAATATAAAATGAGGCTACTGTATATTTTTTGTATATTTAATTATCAGAATTTTTCTATTTAGAAATTTATTACATTAGCAGAAAGAATTCAAAAAAAGTATAAAAAAAGGCAGAAAATGTAAAGATCAACTAGTTTTTTAGACATATATCAGTGATTTTGGACCAAACCATGCAAATAACCCACAACAGTGGTCCACAAACAGAAATCTAATCATTGGTGTATGCAGTCAAAAAAAGTTGGGAACACTTGAATTTATTACTGTGTTCAGTCAGTGGGTTTCAAACCAGCTTTCCGTGAGGCAATGAGAAGAGAGAGTTCGTACAGATGCTCTTTTGCCTTTTTGTTACAGAAAGTTTAGAAACCATTTTTGGAAGAAACTGTAACAGAAAATGAAAAAAAGATATTATGTGTGCATTATTGTCAAGTATCACAGAACTGTATGTTGAATTACAGAGCTTATGTCATCAATCTCAAAGTCTAATTTAGTGACAAATAAAGTAGAAAGGAATGCATTTAAAATGGCCATGTTATTTGCAATTGTTTAAATGATTCCAATTAAAAGGATATGTTATTTCCCTCTGATACTTTGTTCAAGTTTTCAAATTTTTAATTTAAAAAAATTAATAAACTTATAAAGTCTGATAATATTGCAAGTATTTCCAACAAAAATTACTATACCTGCATTTTAATAAGGTATGAATGAAGCTGCACTTTAAGAATGCAAAGGATCATTTATGAACCAAAGGAAAAAATGTAAAATTATTTGTTTTGTATATCTGTATATAGAAATGAGTATTTGTCAAAGAAAGTTGTTTTAATTCTTCAAAAAATGTGTTGAATGTATACTTTTAATGTAGATTATGCATATTTTTTGTTACTTATTGCAAAAATTTATTTTATTTAGTAACATATTTTTTTCATGATTTCTTCTACAGATAAGCCTTTTTATCTCTATTATTTTGCTGTTTGGGAACAAAATGCTGATTACCTCATTCTATACATCTGTACTTTTAATGTGTTTTGTAAGTTACAATTTTTTAAATTTATTTTAATGCAAATTTTCTTCAATTAATTTGAGATGATTTAAAAGTATTAAAATAGGGCACATTCTGATATGCCATTATTATTATTATTAAAGATCATTGTTTCATCTGAAAATATTTGGAGAAAACTTAACAGCCTACTACTGAAAATGGTAAATATTTTTCTTCTCTTTTCATTCTATAAATAAAAATATGTTATTTTTATTATATATTCATTAAACATACTTCCCTTCTTTCCCCCCCCCTTTTTTCCCAAAATTCATATTATTTGTTTTTCGAAATTGAAGTCAAAAAGAAAAACAACAATATAATCACAATTGCATGTAACTATTTCAGCTATGATTTCTGATGTATCTTAATAATTTGTGCATGGTGTTTTATTGCTAAATGTTTACTGAAATAATGATAACTCTTTTTTTTATCATGGGTTGAAAAGAAAGTAATTTTTGGCATCAAAATTTAACTACAAATCACACAAATCTGCAGTAAAGAAAGGTGCCTTTAAAAAATACAAGTATGAAAAATCAGACCACTAAAGGAGCAGTTGGTAGGAATAAATAAGAAGTGGGTGTACTATTTTATTATTTTATGAGTTTCATTGGCAAAGCATCCTCACAAGTGTTATAAGAAATCACTAATATGCACTTAGTGTCATAGCCCATCATACACGCTATTGGTGGTTCAAATGGTTTCCAAACAATTTTATTCTGTCAGCCTCTCCAATATCTGGAAGATCCATACATCCTAAAATAGCTGAAGAGATGGGAAGAAATCTGTCCAGACATTGTCAGATGCCTTTATTAATTTAATAAGGTTACAAAGAAATAGAAGGAAATTTGAATCTATCTTAACCTTTAAATTGGACCAAACATTTGTGTAAAATTCAACTGTTAATTTAGGGGGAAGAATATATGGGGTAATGTTTATTGAACTGCTGCTGAACAGCACCAGTATTATTTTCAAGTTATACTGAAATCAAACTCGTAATATGAATCAAAGTTTTCCAATATATTAAAGGAACAAAGAAACGCCAGTGGTTGCTGGGAGTGATGCCACTCAGGTGACAAGGTACTTTGGCCGAGAAGTCTGCTACATGATTTCTAAATAATAAATGTAATAGCACATCAGAAATACCAGTTACATACTTTCCAATTAAGTATTTTTTAGGGAAGATTTTATTTTAAGCTCAGAATTTGTAGAATGCTGAAATAGTTGTAAGCATTACCTTCTTTTCCCTTAAAAAAAGGAAAAAAAAGAAAAGAAAAAAAATTAGAATGCAAAAAAGTATATTTCAGTTTATTAAAGGAAACTAAATGTTATAAAAAGTGCAGCATTTCTCATTATTTTTGCATCATAATGTATGCACTTAATGTAAATAAATCTTGTTAAATAAAATGCTTGAAAACAGAAGTGCAATAACTATGGTAATAGTATAATTAAAAAGTATTTTCCCATTTTTTTCATTGCAAATGTATTGTTTTATATTAGGCTTTATGCAGATCAAGAAAAAAATTATATAAAATGGTTTGAATCATCAAGTTTATATTTAATTAATATAAAATTCTGTATAGTTAATTAATGGCATGCTTTTATATTAAAGTCACTATATGTATAAATAGAATTTTTTAAACATTAATTTAGCATCATTTTTGAATGCATAAATTTATTTATGACACTTTTTTTGTGTATGAAGTGTTACAACTATTTATTCATTTCCGATGTTAGAAAAGTGCACACGTTTTCATTATTATTTAAAAGTACTCTTATATTCTTGCACTGCTAGGATTTATATATGATGTTTATCCCCATATAACTATTTATATCAGTATACAGTCTTTGACCTACGTTGTCCTACTGTGTATGAAAAATTGAGCTCTCATAAAAGATTTCTGTACACTCACAAATAAATAAATAAACTAAGAATTGATATTGTTTGCTTATTTTTAATTTTATTTTTGCTACCCTACATATTAGTTTTTAATAAATACTGTATTTCTGTCAGATTGCCTCTTAAAAATATTTTGTTGTACTTTGAAATAATGTTTACTGTTTAAATACTTATTTTCTTAAAAATTTGTCTAAAGTAGTTGCAACACCTTTTAGATATTGCTCTCAGTGTTACAGATTTACAAATGTCATCTGCATTCCTCTTAACAAATTTTTTATTTGACACCAGTAAACTTATCAATTTACCTGTAAAAACTGTTTCTAAAATTTATTAGCTTCATTATGAACTTGGTTGTTTATTATGTTCCTTCTCATCTTTCTGAACATAATGTAAATTTTACAAGAAGCAGCAAGTTCAGTATAATACTTTTTCCTTCATTTTTAGTGTACAATATAGCATACTTAACCTCTAATTTTCTTTTCCCAAAATTTTCATGTGTTATTCTGTAGTTCTTTTTTTTTTTTTTTTTTTTTTTTTGAAAAATATTGAAGCACAATTTTGCAAATCTCATTTTATTACATGAATGTTACACCTGCTTGCTCTAACTCTTTTCAGTATAGAGTTTGATGAATCAGCAGAATACTGAAAATGTTTCTTTCTAGACTGTGTTCAGTTTTTTCATATTGCCTTGAGTTTCTAGATTGCCATCAGTTCAGAGTACAATATATATAGCTTACTCCTTTTAGAAAATTATTTTCACATAGATGGTGATAGAAGATATAAAATGGGGACAAATTAGCTTTCAGTATACTCTTAAAGTTAAGTTAAGCTATTCTGCTTTTAAATCCCATACATAATACAAAATAAAGGGAACATATTCTTTAATTTTCAATATTGAAATTATCTGCTGTTTTGTAGCAGATGTACTTGAAAAAGATCATATGTGATGCCTTGACTTTTTGTCTTTCTGTAACACTGGCACATTACAGCACAGTTTGCCATATCTGATATGGAACAATAAAAAACTGAATTTGCTTGCACAAATCAATTCAAATTATGGAAGCAACAAATGTAAACAAGCACTCAGTACTAACGATTGTCACTCATATGGCGTTATGTACATGCAGCCTAATTTTCTCCATAAACTGCGCATCACCCTGAATATGCATGAATCTTTAGTTTTGAAATCACAAACAGTGTTCATTTATGTGGGCTTCCTCTATCAGTATGGAGGGAGACCACTCTGTTAGAATGACTGATAACAAGATCAGGAATGTAAGCTGGAAACTATTGCAGCATAAAATCTATTCTCCATATAGAACCAGCCAGCTTTCCTAGTTGGCATAGCATTTCTTGGATGTGCAGTGGTTTAATAACTGAAATGATATCAAACCATCACTTATTCACTTCTTTGCATCTAAGTTGCTGCATTTCTACAGGGAATACATTCAGTAGCTGTTCAGATGGATGAAGATAGCATTTCTACAGAGTGTTTATACATTTTTAGAATGATTTCGGAACTATTTAGTAAATGTTTAAAATGTATTTTTTTAAATGCTCAGTCTGATAGCCTTTTTTCTGAACCATAAGTTTACATTGTGATTACCAGAACAGAAAGGCTTTAAAATTTCCAGAGGTGTTCATTTCCATTTGTCTTCGACTACCTTTCAGAGTCCATTCATCATTGTGAGTTTGTGCTTAGAAATAGCTTTAATTTCAAGAGACCAAAAGCACTAGTCTGTCTGTGAAAGGTCAGGGGACTTCTCAGAAATATGTTGAAAATATGTAAAAGCAATACCTGTATCAAGCTTCATTTTTTTCAAGGAATGTAGTGATACTTTTCACAGTATTACTTGCTGCTTTGTTTTGATGAAGTTTCACTCTTTGAAAGTCATTGAGATAAAGAAATGGAATAGACACTGCTCGACATTGAAAATGCAACACCAAGAAGGGGTGGTCAGAAAGTGATCAAATTTGGAAAATAGAGACAGCAAGTAGCAATAAGTGATCTTTATTTCAAAATGATAGTCAGAATACAGAGCGAGAATGGCGTCAGCTCAGTAGGATGTAGGACCACCGCGGACAGCGAAGCACGAAGAAACACGTCTAGGCATAGAGTCAATAAGAGTGCGGATGGTGTCCTGAGGGATGGTTCTCCATTCCCTTTCAACCATTTGCCACAGTTTGTCTTCTGAACGAAGCAGGGACAGAGTCTGCAAACGGCCTCCAATCACATACACATGTTCGATTGGTGACAGATCAGGAGAATACGGTGGCCAGGGAAGCATTTGTATACCTTGCAGAGCATGTTGGCAGATGTAAGCACTGTGTGGTCGGGTGTTATCCTGTTGGAAAATTGCATTAGGCAGCCCCTGAAGGTAGAGGATTGCCGCTGGCCGCAGTACATTATCCAAGTATCGTTGGGCCGTCATAGTGCCCTGAATATGAATTAGAGGTGACCTAGAATCATTGGTAATAGTACCCCAAACCATTATGCCACGTTGTCGTGCGGTGAGGCTTTCCACAGTTACTGACGGATTAGATCTGTCTCCACGTATGTGGCGACTGTCACTGGATAAACAGAAGTGTGACTCATCTGAGAACACGACGTTTCGCCATTCTGTCATCCACATTGCTCCAGTCCGGCACCATTCTAAACTTTTACATCTATACTGTGGGTTCAATGGCAGTCTTCTTAACGAATGCGGTGAGTGCAGACAATGTTCAACCAATTAATGGGAAATGGTTCTGGTTGACACGGGAACATCCAGAGTATGTTGCACATGCTGCAGAATTGCGGTACAAGTGACTTGCAGGACCGCCACAGCTTGTTGGCGGATGTGTCGATCCACGTGTGCTGGCGTCACTCTGGCTGCACCTGCACCCCTCCTTCTTCCCACATTTTCTTTTTCCAACCATGTTCACCATAGCCGATGCACTGTGCTCGCATTCATGTGGGTATCAGCTGCGATTTGACATAAGGACCAGTCCGATCACCATACCCCTCGTAAAATCATCTATCTGCTAGAAGTGCCTTCATTGACGTCGGCCTGGCATTCTCTCCTATTACACGTATCCTCTGGGACAAAAACCAACTTTCTTCGATAATTTGTCTAGTAGAAATAATGACATGAATATTGCCCATTCTGCACATTCCTTCCCTCCCTTATATCTTACTTGATGTGCATCGGAGAGCTGCGCATTTCACATCATTTGCATAACTCAGTGACGTGCGTCTACTTTAAAATTTGCATAAATTTCTGACCACTCCTTCTTGGAGTTGCATTTTCAATGTCGAGCAGTGTAATTCAATAAATATTGCATGTAGAACTTTCTCTTGGTATATGAACAATTTTTTCTACTCTTCTTATTTTTTATTTCCCATCGTAAGGGAATCCTGCAACATTTAGAAACCGTTTTAATGAAACTTAATAAGTGATAGAATTAGGTTTGTACGTTTTTTCTCCTCTTTTTTTATAATACATAGATTTTTTTTTTTTTTTTTTTTTTTTTTTTTTTTTTTTGTTTCAGTCATTTACGTTAATCCATACTCCATCAAGAGTCATAATGTATTTCCATTTATCTCCATTCTAAATAGTTTTCATGTAAGGTTCTGCAAACTGTTTTGCATTGAGCTACATGCCTTGGGAAAAGTTGGTAAAATTATGTTTTTTTTTAGCTTTTCTAAGTTGTAAATCATGACCATTATTTTATTTTTGGTTGTTGCAGATGTATCTAAAGACTGTGCAATTGATTTATGTGTCAACAGATATTCTTTTGTTACAAGCGATTTAATTGTAAAAACATTAGAAATAAGAAATAGTACTACCTTTTCGAGTATTTTTCTGGAGCCTTCTTTCTATGTAGAAGTAATGATTGATGGTTTTCCCCTTTCCATTTAATAATCTTGCTTATTTTGCACTTCAAAATTTTAATACTATGCCTTTCGCATTTTTTAACAATGAAATAGGAATCTTCAGAAAGCACATGAACTATATCCTTCAATCTACAGCTTGTTTACATATGACATTTTGAAAGAAAAGTAAATTTAAATGTAGCTGACAAATATTTCTTAGTTCAAATGGTAACCTATTGCCAGAAATTTTTATTCCAGAAAATATGCCTTTTTCTTTTAATTCTTTACCAAAATTTTTCTAAAAATGTGCAAACACCCTATGTGTTTGATATGTACTTATATGTAAAGTGAGCAGTCCATTTCTATTGTCTTTATCTTAGAGACATTGCTTTCTTTTCAAACCTTTATATGTATGCTTGTATAATATATATAATGTATAATATATATAATTGTATGTATAGAGAGAAATTTGGGTGCAATTTTTTCTGCATCTAGAAAGTAAAATTTTTAAACAAAAACGTGTTGATTCGTATTTATTTAACTTCAGTTTGTGAAAGGAATCACCTTGGTGCTTGGATGTGTTATATTGAAAATTCTGCTATCATCCATTTTAAACGTACAAGATGATGTAAGTTAATTTTTTCTCAGACTTTATTTTTGAAATAAATATTTATTATTTTTTCATGCTAAAAATATAATTTATGTATTATTTTTATGTATAAGTATAGTAAAAACTTTTGATATTTTCTTATATTCATTGCACTGCCCTAGCATTATTTTCATAATGCCTGGTCTTCATGCTATAAATAAGTATTATTGTATTTCTGATATTTTACCCTGAAACTTTTGGCTTTAGTAGATTGTCACTCTTTTAGGAATACTGTCTGTGTAATTTGCAGATGAAAGGTTCCTATACTTAACCAGTTCAACTTTCTGAAATGACTGTAGCATGCACATACCTAAAATTTGTTGTATCCTATACACGGTGATTATAAATTACTTTTACAAATTAAGAGGGGTGATAGTACTCATCCAGATAAGCAATAATTACTATAGAACATAGGGTCACATTCCACTCTGAGAGGCAGAAAAGAAGAACATTAAAATTCCAATCTGAACTTACAGTGTTGGGAGAGCAAATGAACGAGACCAAATGTTGCACAATCACTTTAGTGACAAACTCACAGAGAGTGCACAAAATGGATAAAACTGAAAACTTGGCATTCGAGTGTTAATTAGAGCTGAGACTTTGACGGCTAACACTCAAATGCACATCTTTGGTTGGCAAGGTCGCAAATGATTGCAACAAGTTAATTATCTAAATTATTACGGGGAAATTATCTATTAGGGGGGGGAAACTACCTTGATATCAAGTATCAAGTTGTTTTTCTCTTAGCCATCTTCTATCCTGTCTTCCTGGACTTACTCTGCTGCGCCCATTCTACTTGAAGCACCCTTCTATGGGACATGAAGTTCTGACAGCCGGAACGCAGCATGACCTTTTCATGCTAATCTCGCAGACGTTGGAGTTAGTTGATAATACTCAGCCGTTGATTACATAATTAATTTAATGCAATCATTTGTGAGGTTGAGACCTTGCCAACCAAAGATGTGCATTTGAGTGTTAGCCGTCAAAGTCTCAGCTCTAATTAACACTCGAATGCCAAGTTTTCAGTTTATCCATTTTGTGCACTCTCTGTGAGTTTGTCACTAAAGTGATTGTGCAACATTTGGTCTCGTTCATTTGCTCTCCCAACACTGTTGTAAGTTCAGATTGGAATTTTAATATTCTCTTTTCTGTCTCTCAGAGTGGAATGTGACCCTATGTTCTGTGGTAATTATTGCTCATCTGGATGAATACTATCATCCCTTTTAATTTGTAAAAGTAATTTAAAATCACTCTGTATATATGTAATGAGATTCATAGATAACCAATTCATTTTTTTAACATTCATATTCTCATGGCTTTGTATCAGTCTGAGTACTATGTAGCATAGTATCATAAATCATAAAAAGTAGCTATATATTATATGGTATTATTCTCATCAAACTTTATTATCATGATGATACATTCTGAAAGAACCCCTCATGAACAAGCGTAATCTAAGTATGACTATTCATTTATTAGAGTAAATGATGTTGCATTCTGAATCAGTCATTCCTTTCACATTTGCCTAATCTAGATATGGTATCCATTTGGGAAAATGTGAACCTTGACTTCTTTTATACCATATTTTCTCCCTCCTTTCTGCATGCCTTTGTGGTGTAATGGTAGCACAATCGGCATGCATTCAAGAGTTCCACGTTCAAATCCCAGTGAGGTCATTGCTGATTTTTCACTTCTGCTTAAAAAAAAAATCTAATAACTTTTAAAGCTTTGTCTATAGAAACTTGGTCAAAAGTGATCTTGGCTTGGTCTTTATTGGTCTAAAGCTTTTGCTTAATCTTGTCATCCAGTATCTGGTATTTGTCATGATGTTTAGCAGTTTGTGAATGACTGCATAGTAACTCTAATATCCATGGCCAATATTAAAGTGCATTATTGGGGTCCTTCTTACTGATTTCAATATAAGCCATAAACTTTAGTTGCATAACTCAGAAATACTCAAATTCATAGTCAGAATGTTTTACTCTTAACAAAGAGCAATAAATCATGACTCTATGCAATAATTACTTTTTAAATTTATTTTATTTATGAACAGTTTTTATTCTATGAGAAATTTATATTCAGATTTTCTTCCTATTTGCTAAACTGAATTTAGTTCTGTTAAATAAACTGAAAATGTGTCGGTTATGTTTTCTTAATTCTGTATAAGGCTTCAAAGTAATGCAGTTCTCTAACTTAATGTATTTATATTTTTAATAAACTATTTTTTGAAATTATAGGCACATATTTGGAATATTTTAAAATCAAAGTTTACATCTTATAAAGATTTTCACACATTGCTATATACATGTGCTGCAGAATTTGATTTCTTACCATGGGAAGTAAGTTATTTTACAATTATTATTTTTTATTAATACCTTAGTTAATCTTGCTTGTAATTTACATATGTAATTTTTTTCCTTTATTTTAAATATGTATCAATGAATGTACATATGTTTAAATTCAGTTATTTTCCTTATTTCAGACTATACTGGAACTTACCAAAACAATTGCCTTACCGGTCGCAATTCCAACGGTTGCCTTCATTTTGTACTTTGTGAGTATTTTATTTTTAGAATGTCTTTAAAAATTAAATTTGCTTAAACAAATTTTCTTATCATCAGTCATGTAAAAAAATTCATCAAACATGAGTTTTCTCTGCGGTGTTCACATTTCCCTTTTATGATTCTGTAAGCAAATATACTAGCATAGTAATGATATGACTTACTTTATCATGTTTGATTTATTGAAGAAAAATTAAGAAGTTAGACCCATATGATGTGAATCATATATGACATACTTATTTAAAAAATAAATAAATAAACTGGAGACAGATCTATTACTATTGTCTAAAAATAATTTTAAATCATCATTTTTTTAAGGATGGAACCAACTGTGACCATGTGTAAATTTGAAAAATGTTGGTAAAAATAACACTTCTGCTTCATAAAGCTTCGAATAATTTGTACATGTACTGATTCTTTAGTCATTGAGGCATTTACCTTTTAATCATCAATTACTGATTCACGAGGTATGCACATTTTATCAGTGAAATTTAAGACAGCATTTTCTATATAATAAATTCTCATAACCTCTTCTGAATGTGATCACTATTTCTGAGAACATAAATAAACATTTGTATTGAAATCACCTCTCTAAGAAGAGAAGTATCTAAGTCTCAGACATGTTCCCTATATTGCACCAAAAATTTATTACATTATGAATACAACTTTATTGTATGAAATTAATATACTTCATGGATTATTAATTAATGGTTTATTGCATTTTTAACATTTAATGCAAAGATAAAACAATACGTGTTATATAAAATTAATTTTATAAAACAGCTCTTGAAATGTGATATTAGTTAATTTAGAATTTCAAAAGTTAATTTAATTTTGTTGATCCTGTAATTTATAAGAATCTCAGACAGGTAGTGTAATTTTGCGAGCTCCATAAATTTCTGTCAGTTTGTATCATGTTAGAGAAATATGTCACATATATTAAATCTCATCTTAATGTTTCTGGTGTTTTTATTTCCCTTTCAAGAATTATATTTTCATACGTGATTCCAGACACCAAAGCTTCTTTCCAAATACAAACTCAGTTATTCAGGGGGATTTTTTTTTCTGTTGTTGTTGTTGCTTTTCAGTAGTAGAGTTTCATTCAGTTTTGACCACTAGTGTATTTGAATAGTATCTTTTTTTTTTTTTTTTTTTTTTTTTTTTTTTTAAGATACAGGTTAAATATTAGAATGTATATAATTTTTAAATGTTTTTAATTTTTAGTTTTTTATTTATTCATTTAAAATGCTTAATTTTTTAAATTTGTTATTAAATTTGTAAGAAGTGTAACCAAATGTAGTTTTTAAAATCAATCACGGTCTGGTTTTAATTAAATTTTTTTAATCTTTTGTAATATTTTTATAGTGTTTTCTCATGCATTATTGAAATTTTTTAAAGATAAAATAATTTTTTTAGATTTAACTGAAAGGATCAAATTATATAAAAAAATTAATAACTTTTTTTTTATATCTCAACTTATGTAACTGTTTGTTAACTACTCAAAGAGTAGGTCAGTCATACAATATTTTATTTCATGACATTTTATGTGGACTGAATCAACTTAAAAATATCAACTTAAAAACACTAAATATTAAGCTGTGCATAGATTATGTTGTGCATATGAGTATTTAATTTCACTATACTATAAATTATATATTTTCATCCAAGCAATAATGAATATTTATTAGCATGGGGGTTGATGTTTAATTTTACACATGAAAATTCGGCTAATCTTTGGAATATGGTAACAGGTAATTTGGCGACATTTTGGTAAGGTGTTAAAGGTTACTAGCTAGGACTTTAGCAATAATCTGAGAAGTACACAGTTCGAATCACAGATTATTTTGTCTCAGAGAAATGAGAGATCATGAGACATGTAATGTGACATTTTCCGGAAAATTCCGATCGTGATTTTAGCTAATAAGCACTTAGAAACAATTTTGCTGCTAAAGTGCAGAATCGCCCACTTATTCTTTTGGTGATTTTTATTTGTTCTAGTATAAGCGTAATGTGCTAATAAATGCTGAAATGCAAGATAATAAATTATAATTTACAAGAGTAAGAAGAATTGGATTTTTGTCAATTTTCTTTGACTTTTTAAGTAAAAATAGGTCGATGTGTACATAGATAAAGTCAAGAGTGTGCACAATGCCATTTTTGTGCAATTCTGGGATTTTTTTTAAGTTAAAATAGTTCGACACATACATGGATACCGTGTATGTGGAATTCTTAAAAACGCAGCAAGCAGTTTGCGATTCTGCACTTTCTCCGAATTTCTCACTTAATCTTCGTCATGATTAAGCATTTTTTGTTCCATAAAAGTTCTAGTATAAGCGTAATTCGGCTAGCAGATTGTTTGAGAAAATGTTGAGTAAAAAAAAAAACATGCCTTTGCTTCGTGAAAACAAAATGGCGTCCAAAACAAAACTAGCAGGTTGCTGTAGCAGGGTTGGACGCCAAAAAATCGCCAAGTTAACATAATGTAAAGATTAGCCGAAAATTCTGCTAATGTGAAGGAAAACGTATTCAGTTGTAGATGTTTACATATATAGTTGTGGTTTTTTTATAGGTTGATTCTGCTGAATGTGCTAATAAATGCTGAAATGCAAGATAATAAATTATAATTTCCTACCATACCATAAAGTAGAAAATTCTTAGTAATTTTACAGTACAGTAGAAAATCCGAGATCCAGACTCATTGGGACTTTGGCAGTTCTGGACTTGGGAATTTTCTCAATATTAGATCATCAGTTAAGATACAATAACATGCCGAACAAATATTCATTTAGAAGTCAAACAACAAAAATCAGCATTATTTGCACTTTTGCAGCTGAGGATAATGGTTCGGCAAAACGATCGAAACTAGTCCTGTTAAAATTTGAAAATATAACACTGATTTTTGTTGTCTGACTTCTAAATTAATATTAGATCATCAGTTTAAATCTAGTAAGATAATATATAGAAATTATTAAATGAAAAATATGAAACAGTGGTTTGTGAAAGCATTCCCTTTAATTCTGTAGATAGGTATAATTTTTTGTTCAGTTACAAACCATTATTCAACACCTATAATTGCTGTGTTGAGAATAAATTATCAATCAAAATGTTTTCATCATCAACAACCTCTCTTTCACTTTCTTCACTGTCGGTAGTAATATTTTATGGATTTAGAACTACACTACAGATTTTGCCATCCATTAGTCAATTGATGATTGGGGCATTGTCATTGCAATGAAAAACTTCTGTTATATCATCTCCATTTATCTGAATCCCAAATAAATAAATTCCTACATATACTTAAGGCTCATCCATGGCTGAAGCTTAACATTTTCAGACCTGGTGCAGTCTCTGCATATCTTAAATTCTGCTTCCAAGCAGCTTCATATATACCACTTCTCCACAAATTCCATTAATTGATAATTTTGTTTTTTTTGCAATATCTGAGAAACCTTCAAATTTATGGCTATAAAGCTTAGTTAGCAACTGCTATATGCTACTAGCAAAGTATCATAAGATTGGGGACTACAGATGTTGTTCCGTTAAATTATATCTTCCTTTTATCGCAGTTGATGAAGTTCAGCTGGAATTATATTAATTGTTTATAATACTTATTCTTGCACATGCTTAAGGCTTATCTCAGTCCTGAATAAATAAATTCCTACATATACTTAAGGTTTGTCTAAATCTAATGCTAGATATTTTGCAGCCTGGTGCAGTCTCTGTGTGTCCTAAATTCTAAAAATCTTCTTCTCTAAATTCTCAAAATTTTGCCTTCCCTAAATTCTACTGCCCATATGACCACAACTGCACTGGTCCTGGGTTTATCTGATTAACAAATCAAGTTATTCTCAATTCAAACAGCACTAAATTTAATCTTTTGTCCTATCAGTATCATTTAAAAATCTATTTTTTCTGTTGGAAAGAAATTTCTCCTGTCTACACATTTAACACTTTGCTGTGCAGTTAGCTGAAGTTTGTAATCATCACCAAACATGTCAGCATAAAGTCATGAAAATTGTTTAGATTTTGCTGTATGAGTTTATTCTCAAGCTGCCATGTGTTGATTAGTTATGGGGTAATAAAAGTAAAAAATAATAAATAATGTTTCTGTAGGTTGGGATATAAATTATTCTGTATGTGTAAAATCAACAGTGGTTCAATGTACAGTGTTTTGGTTTGAGATGTATAAGAGATGGCTACAGAATCGAGTTATTGGACCATACAGATTTTATACTAATAAATTATTATTTCTTCAGTATGGAAGTATTTTCTTTAATGCCCAAGTGAAATTAAAAATCAGGACTGTCCACATGTTTTATTATGAAACAATATGAAATGCTCATGGATAAAGCATATAACAAATTTCTTAAAAAAAAAAAAAAAAAAAAAAAAAAAAAAAAAAAAAAAAAAAACATTGCTTGTAGGCTATTGTAAAGCCTGGATTTTAGGTTATTCTGAGTAATGAACATCAGAATTTCAGAGAGTGTACTGTATAAAATATCACATTGTTTGCAAATAGGAGCCTGATTGAAAAGGCTAATTCTAGTAATCAATGGAAATAACACTACTTAGTTAAAAAGATAAATTACTGATTTTTTTTTAAATTACACTTGAATTAATAGTTTTCCATGTGATTTAGTTTCTTTAGAGATTTTAGTGATTATTGTTAGATTTTAACAAATTATCTTTTCCTTCTAATCAGAGCCTCATTAGGAAATTTTAGAAAACATCTGAGCCCTCAGTGATCATATTCCTGCTGTAAGCAGAGTTCTAGGATGATTTGAGATTCCTTAAAATCTAGAAGTTGAGCCTTATGAGCTCGGGCAGTAATTAGGCTCTACTTTTGAAATCCTTTACAAGATTCTGCATGTTTAAAAACACTGAAGATATGAATTTTTTTTATTTTACTTTCAGATTTTATTCAGAAAGAACAATAATGCATTACATGAAGATGCTGATGTAAGTAAAAAAGAAACTTTAAATTCTAGGATCGTTATATTATGAAACTTTAAATTCTAGGAATATCTAAACATTGAATTAGGCAAAGCAACAACCTTGTGTTGGCATCTGCTTTGGCTGAATTTGTCAGATTTCTTTTATTCTGATGAAGAGGGACCTGTATCTGTTTGTCCTTAAAATAGACATAACTAAAATCTGTGCAAAACATGAGGTTGTTGCTTTGCCTGATTTTATGTTTTACTTTGGCATGCTTCTTTTCCCTCTTGATATCTAATCTAAATATTGTTATCAATATATTATATCTAAATATTATTATCAATTTCTTAAATCTTGTTTATGTTATATATGTTTTTATGCTATAGCTATCTTGATCTATTTATCTGCATGCAGTAAATTTAGTAATATTAATAATATTAATAAATCGTAATGATAATTTTTATTTTTAATTAAAACTTTAAAATTTTAAATTTATTTGATAAATTTCCATTTTTAGCTCTAATTCAAACTTCAAATTTCTTTATTATTTGTTTTTAAAATTCTTTCTACATATTATTTTTCGTTAAATATATGGAGTATTTTAAAATAATCTACAAATGCGTACCTCAGTAAATATCCTACTATGCATCTTTTTTAGTTAATACATTATAAGTAGAGCTCATTTTAGACAAAAATAATTTGTTTATTAGCAATGTTAGCAAGTGTACACTGATTAGATATGCCAGGTGTTATAATAGCATTATCACTATGTTGAAATTTTATTTAGTTACAGCACATTTCATAGAATGTAGTTGCTAGGATATGTCTTGTATAATACATTGCAGTCTTCATGCCATTAATGTGAATCAAGCATCATGCATATGTAGAATCACTGCTAGGCTTTTTGCTGCATTGTGTAATCTCTGAGGATTTTAAATTCTGCCATTTAGTACAAAAGACTGAAAATGCATCATCTCCAGATGTTACTTTCTCTAATCTTCTTTGTTTAAATCATTTTGTAATGAACACTATTTTTTCAGTAATTTTCAGTATGTTGTGAATTATATTCTGAAGATGTTTTGAATTTAGCTTTAAATCAGTCTTGTTTGTGAAACCGTATTGTGATTTCTACCTGATCTGTTAACAATATTTAATACCATGTGCAATAAAACATATAAATTTCTAGGTGCTCTATAATATTTTCCAATGTTTGGCATTTTTCATCATGGCTATCCTTGTTATGAGACTGAAGTTATTTTTTACTCCCCATTTATGTCTTATGATTTCATTGACTATGAGTGGAAAGGTATTTATTTCACTTTTCTAAAATTATGTTTATTAGCTTTATGTTGTACATATATTCATTTTATAGTTTCCAGAATCATTAAATCGTATCCCAGTTTTCTATTATTGATTAATTTGTTAGTGCATGAATATTTCAGAGAGCTTTCAAAAATTAATTTTATGAAGTTTGTTAGCTTATTCATATCTAAAGCATTAAAATTCCAAAATTGTATGTTTCCATGGTTATTAAAAACTAAATTTTTCTAGAACTTTTATGCCAAGTTAGAGTAATTAATATGTTTTGACCTACATGATGCCAAATGTAAATGAGGGCACAAAATCTGGGTAGAGATAGGAATGGTATTCCTAATGATTTATGAATGAATATTTTATTTAATTAAAAATAAATGTAAAAAAATGAAGATAGTTACAGAAATTCACAATTAAGAGCATATATAATTATTCTAGTTAACAGCTGGTTAAATTCTACTAACAGTGCTCTTGATATCAGAAGTGAATAAACCAAATAATTATCAGAAAAAGAATGCACAAACTTTTGAATCAGCATCCACTTAGTAAACTTTTCTTTTCCTACCATGATCTTTCATTGTAGCAGCATTCTGGTAATAGTGAAATACAATTACATTTTGGAATTTTTGGTTTTCAAAGAAAACCTTTCCATGTGATACCTTCATTTAGGAATAATTTAATTGTGACTCTTCATTATTTGGCAGTTATCAAATCTCATAACCCATATTAATTCTATCTTTTAAAAAATGTCAGAACATTTAACAATTAAACAGCTGAAAATGTTGAAAAAAAATTACAGGTTTGGTGTTCACTAATGATATCATTGCATAGCTTTGGTGCAGAGTTGCAATTGGCACTCTGTTAACTAAAAAGTACTAAATACTTTTTGTAAAAGGTACTTAAATAGGACAAATAAAGTGAAACTGGAGCACACACATACAAAGAGGGTTGAGGGAGGACTGTTTTTTAAAAATAGCATTAATGTGGTAAACATAAAATTACAGCAACTTTAAAATTAGGTTAAAAAAAAAAAAAAAAAACTCTTTGCAAGAGACATTTGAAATTCTGTACTAGTCTGAATTTTAGCTTAATTTCAAAAATTAAAGAAAACAAGAGTTTTTAAATTTTTAATGAATTACTTAAATTATTGATAGAAATAAAAAGTGTTTTATAAAATACTTTGAAGACTTACATTATCTGTATAAGTTTTAAATTTTGGATGTGTGGTGGATTATGCTAGCAAAAATGAAATTTTTCAATTAATTCAGGGATTGCAGAGACAAAATATTTTTAATTATATAGAAGGGAAAACTACTATTTATTATACTGATGAACTTCTGTATATTTAAAAAAATCTTATTGGATATATTGTTAATTTATTTGTTCACCAACAGTGAAAACAATTTTATCTTTTTGCAGTATTTCAGATTTTTAGATGGGAAAGCTGTTAGATATTACATCCTTTTTAGTTTACTTGCTGCTATGAGCATTCAGGGTATCTCAAATATTAAGCATCAAAGAAATATAATTGGTGAATTCAGCAACCCTGACTTAGAAGAGCTTATTTCTTGGATAAATGCTACTTTGCCTGAAGGTAATATGTGAATGAGGTAACACATTATTTTTTCCATTCTAATTGATTTTTACAATTAAATTTGAAACAAATTTAATTACTTTAGAATTTGGGTTTTTTTTTTTTTTTTTTTTTTTTTTTTTTTTTTTAGTCTAAAGGAGCTTTGTCCCTGAAGGACTATTGTTTTCGTTTTGTGATTTTGCGTTGAATCACTATAAACGGCGAATCACTTTTCAAATTGTTATCACCAAATGTTAGAGTCCTGCATTATATTTGAAGAAATTAAATAATGAAAAATCTGCATAAATGTATGTATATTTCTCGCATTGTGATAAAGCAACGCTACATAGAGTCATCAAATTTTGAATGATGTAATCTTTCTATGATTATGGGCATGTGGAAGACCAAATTTGAAATTTGTTTTATTATCGAAAACTTTAACGAATTTTTTATTAACAAACTCAACGATTTAAAAGCGAGCAATGGCAACACTCTACAGGAAAATGAAACATTTTTATCTCCCAACATGTGGAACTGTGTATCGGAAATTCTAAAGATATGCTCATTTTAAAATTATTTTGCGACATTGCTATTGAACTGAATTTTATGGTTTAAGCGCAAAGAACATGATATTTTATAAATAAAGGTAACACACAAAATGCAAAAAAACTCCCCTTTGGGCGTAATTTAAAATCTGAAACCTTTCAGTTTTTTTTTTTTTTTTTTTTTTTTTTTTTTTTCCCCCATTTTATAAATGTTTATTTTTTGTCATTATATTTCCATAAGGTACTAGCTTTAGTAACTTTTTCAGTTTATACAAAGAATTTCAAAAATAGTTTTTTTTATTTAGTCAAGGAATGAAAATATCAGTAGTTAAAGGAGAGTTTTAATGAAGAGTTTTATTGCCTTTTATTTAGTTTTTTTTATTTAGTCAAGGAATGAAAATATCAGTAGTTAAAGGAGAGTTTTAATGAAGAGGTTTATTGCCTTTTATTTACTGCTTGAGTGGAAGAAATATGCCAATTTAAGCATTCAAGCGTAGTCTGATGTTTCAAGCCTCTCATATCATATTGTCTGGCACAAGAGCAGAGGACAAACCTCAGCTTTCAGTACTGTGGCAGGCAGAATTGTACAGATAGTGAAAGATGGATGGAAATGATGATTCTCTCTTTTTACTTATTGGAATCTGTTGTATTTCCCTTAATAGCTCCAATGCTTTCCCATAATACCATATCCACATTATCAGAATTTGAAAGCTTTATTATGTGTTCAATGTTTTCTCAGTTTAGGAAAACTGTCATTTCTATTTACAAACTCCTTAACAAATCACCTTCAAGACTAGGAAAAAGTGATCTATTATCCTCAGTGCCTTGATAACAGGAGTTGTAATAGACCTTTTTCAGCATAAATAACCAAAATATGTAAATATATAAAGTAAATTTATGGATTCTCATTAAGCATTAAAATATATTTTAACATATTTATATGAAGGAACAGCATAGGATAATAAGCAATATATATTACTGCAAAAAATGTATTTTGTGACTGATGTTTGATTTCTGGATTACTAATAATTCTCCTTTAAATTCTTCAAAATGTCCTTTTCGGTTGATACTTTCTGAGGAATTTCCTCAGATTTTAATTTCAAAGTTCCATCATCACTTAGCTTTCTTCCCCAACCAATTATATGCTAAATCCTATTGGAAAATTCAATGTTGGTAATTTTAATTGCTGAATTATATCAATGAATGTAAAATAAGTCTTTCTTAAAAATATGTATCAGTACAAATCTAAGATCCAGAATCATCGGGACTTTGATGATTCTTAACTTTATACCATCACTTTAAATCTGGTGAGATGATATGTAGAAATTATGAGATTAAAAATATAAAATAAGAAAGTGTTTATTATTTTAAGAGAATAAAAATTTCCAAAAAATTTCAATATTTGTTTATTGAACATTTTTTAAATGTAAGTTGTTTAAGCTCTTTTTGTGTGTGTTGTGCACACGCTAATGCTTTCTCTTTAGCTTTAGAGACAGATATAATTTCTTGTTCAGTTACCAAGTTCCGCAACCATGTCGAGACTTCACTCTGAATGAATTGTTCTATTCATTATGAATGAATAGAATTAAATTCTATTCATTATGAATGAGGTGTTAAAATCCACAAAGTTCCTTTTTCTGATTTTTTTAATGTCATATATTGTTGACTTTCCAACACCATGCTACTTAATTTTGAGATCAATATGCTGTTATCCATTTTTTGCTTGATTGACATCAAAACATGCTCTTGCTTTGCAGATCCTGCTACAGCTCCAAAATTAGAAACTCTTTTTGAAATAATCGAAAATTCAACTATAATCGAAAATATAACTGTATTAATAGCCTGTAAAAAATAACATAGCTGTAACATGGCCTGTACAAAAATAATACACTGTATCAAACTAGAAGGTTAAGAAAGTGTGAAATTTACTGTTCTTATTTCTTTGAAATCAAATTCTTTCCCTCTTCCCTACTACTATGCCAACAAAAAGTTTTGCTGTTTTGCAATTACAGGAAAACATTCAAGGGATGCCTTCTTGGAAGATTTTCTAAGGGAAATTGGCTCATATACATGTAGCGCATGTGGAAAGCCATGAAAACACCCATGCAGGCAGCCTGTTCATGAGTTTCAAACCTGAGACCAAACTATCAGTGTTCAGCAACTTTACCACTCGACCACCAACAAAAGGAAACCATTTTAAGCATCATCCCATTCTAAACAAATATGTCCTTGGTCTTCACTTATTGTTTAGATCAGACAGAAAAATTCTGACTCCCTCACATGCATACAAGCTCTCAAAATGTGGTACTAATCAATGTATCATCATTGACCAGGGTATGATTTGCTAGCCAGCAGGTGTTTGAAAGGATATGCATGAATCTCAGTTAATATAGAAAAAAAAATTGCTTTTATGGTTCCTGCTTTTTTTGGGTGTTGTATTCATTGCAAGTGAAATTTAATAGTCAAGATTTAAGCGGAAAAAAAAAAAGTATTTTTGCTGGTGGTTCTGAGGTCAGTTTATTAGATCATTCTGGATACTGGATATATGGATTTGAGACTTTGTATTATGTTTAGTTCTAACTTTTAGGCCTTTGTTTTATTACATGACAACTTAGAATGTCCAAACAAAACTGTTTATTGGAGTAATGTTTATGAAAAGGTTACTTTAGCAAATTATTCTATCATCTCATCTTGAAGGAACTATAATATTTTAATAATTAATTAAATCCAAATTGGAGAAAATAATTCTTGATAAATGTTTTAACCCTCTTCCCTTTTTTTTTTTTTTTTTAAGTAGGTGGAGGATTAAATCACTGTATAAGGGTAAAACATTTGTCACTTCTTTGAAATAAATAAGAATAGTTAGTTAAGTTAGTAAATATTTAATAAATTGAATAAATCAACATTTTTAATGTATTTTCCTGACTTATTATTACAGACATTATAGATTTGCCACAAGAAGAAATCTTAGAAATGTATCACCTTTATTACATAGATAATAATCTTTATATTTTTCTAATTTCTTGAATTTATATATATTCCTTATAGATGCAGTATTTGCTGGTCCCATGCCAACTATGGCCAACATTTTATTGTCAACTAGAAGGCCAATTGTGAATCATCCCCATTATGAAAATGCTGGCTTACGGTACATTTTTTATAAAGTTATAAATTAATTCAAAGTTAATTTTTCATGTATTAAAAAGTATTAAAAATACCTGACAAAAATTGTAGAAGAGACTGAAGCTAATTTTTAATTGCAATAAATTAGAAATGGCATATTAAGGTGGCACTGAGCAAGTTGGGCGGGAATTGTTCTGCTTTTCAAAAAGGATTATATCTATGTAACCTTGTCTTTAGAATTCTATAAAATAAACGTTCCACTATAAAAACTACTCAGTATGGTGATAATTCAATTACAGTGACCATATGATTACTTATTATACCTTTTTTATTCTGTGGCATGCAAGAGGTTATTACAATGAGCATCAACTAAATTTTTCAATTCAGCATCAGCTATTTTATATGATATTGGGATAAGTCTCTGCCATTCGACAAAAAATGGTGCCATCAGTAAATTATGGTTAAAATTGTCGGACGTAAAACATCATATCGTAAGGTTGGACATCTGCTAACAACATAACCTTGAAATGTTAGCAATTTTTTTACCAGCATCATATATTTTTCCATGCAAAAATATCAAGTTTTGAGCCGAATGAGCATCAATTGCGGGAACTTTTGATTTACTTCTTAAATTTGAAAAAGTCTGCAGCTGAAGCACATCAACTGTTTGTACAAGCATATGGTGAGGCTGCCGTAAGTGAGCAAACTTCTCGTGAGTGGTTTCAAAAGTTTAAGAACAGTGAATTTAGTGTCAAAGACAAAGAACGTAGTTGAAGGATAAAAGTGTACGAAGACGCAGAATTGAAGCATTATTGGATGAAGATTTGTGCCAAATGCAAGCAGAACTTCCACTTACATTAAGAGTAATTCAACAAGAAATTTCACATTGTTTAAAATCATTGACAATGATTCAAAAGGAAGTAAATTGGGTTCCATATGAACTGAAACTGAGAATGCTGTACTTTCTGAATTACGAACTTTCTCATTTTTAGATAGACAAGTGTTCAAAAATCGGCCATCGAGACTATACTGGGGTAGCGCTGTAGCACGGAAACCTAAACTGCAAACGACTTTTTTGCCTGAGCCGAGAATCATTGAACACCAATTTTTTAAACATGAAATGCTGCTTGCCAGACATAAATGAAAGGGTTTTTTTGCATTGTAGGATCACTGGTGATGAAGAATGGATCCACTATGATAGCCCAAAGAAAAAATCATGGGGACCACCTGGCCATACTTCAACATCGGCAGCCAAACCAAATATTCATGGATAAAACGTCATGTTATTGTGGGATCAACTTGGTGTCATCTATTATGAGTTTCTCAAACCAAACGAAAATCATTACTTTGGCTCTCTGCCGAACACTATTGATGAGACTGAGCCAAGCAAAGGGGAAGGGAAAAAAACAGCCTCTACTACTCGAGACGTGACAAAATTATTCTCCTGCATGATAATGCTCATACACATGTTGCAGCACCAGTCAAAATCTACTTGTAAACACTCAGTTGAGAAGTTTTCCCCCTCCCACTGTGTTCACCAGACATTGCTTCTTCTGATTACTGCTTGTTTCGGTTGATGATGCTTGGTCTTCACATCATAAGAAGATACAAAAATTGGGTTGGTTTGTGGATAGGCTTGAAAGGATACAGTATTGAAGTGTACTTCAATACGGTATCCGTATGCCACTAGAAAGATGGAAAAAGTAGTGGTCAGCGATGGGCAATACTTTTAATAAAATATAGCATATCATTCTTTCACAATAAATGACCAATTTTTGAAAAAAAAAAAATGGTGGAGACTTATTTGTAATTCGGAATCGCCAAAGTGCCGACGAGTCCGGATTATGGATTTCGGATTTCAGATGTTAATTAGATACTCTAAAGTTAGTTCATTATTTAAAAATATTTCTACATATTTTTATCTTTCAAAAATTACTTTTATTGGTGAGAAAATTCTGCTAGTTTTGGAATTCGATATATTAGAACATCTGGACTGACCTGTGGCTGATAATAACCATTAGGCTTTTACAGTTTCTTTCTTGATTTAATTCCAGAGAAGTAATTTTATCTGTGATGATGATATTTTCTAATGTTCAGGTTTAATATGTAAAATCACTTTGATAAACTATCAAGACCAGGGAGAATTTCATAGTTTCAGGGAGAATTCTGCAATCAGCCTTTTATTCAGCTGTTAAGTGTTTTAGTTCATGAATATAAAAGAGCTACTTTTATTCAGTTTTGGTATGTACCAGTATTTTCTATACATTTTCTTGTTTAATTTATAAATCACGTTAAAAAATAATTTTTAATTTAGATAAATATATATACATAATTTTTCAGATTTGAAAAGGAGAGAGAAAAATGATCTAGCAATGGTGAAAGGAGTGCATGCAGAAAAAAAAAGGTGCAGAACCACTAGTCTAGACCAACAGTCATCAACCCTTAGAACTTCACGGACCATTACATATATAACTATATATTTGGCAGACCACTACATATATAATTTTATATTTGGAGGACCACTAATATGAATTTTAAAAAAAACCTTAAATCAGACCTTATAAGCAACATATTAATACGCAAAAACAATATTCAACTTTCCAATGCATGTAATTCTAATTTTCATTTGTTAATATAATTTTCGAAACATTTGGTGTTCAGCAGCATGCCTTTATGGAAATTCAGGCTACGCCCCTGATTATGAGTAACAATTAAAACACTATTAGCATCTCACTGATACACATACTTCATTAACATTGAAAAATTATATGAAAAGTACAAAAATCTTACCTTCTTGTACAAAAGCTTCACATTTGCATATCACTGAAAAGGAACTTCATGAAAAGCAAGAACAAACTGGCAAACACAAAGCAATATCAGTAAACTGAAAGTGTTATGCCCCCAATTTTAAATTATTGTAAACGTAATAATCATCGCTTACTTAGCAATGGTGCCATCGATCAACAAGACAAAACAAAAATGGAAACTTCCATTGATGCAATTAAAAACAAGAATGCAGATGGTTCTCATAAAAATCCATCAAGTTGCCTATTGACACGGAAAAAAATTTTGTTATTAATGACTACAATAGCATATGTTTGTAATTCAAAAGGAAGGAGAATTCCAATTTGTGCTATTATTGATAACAGCAGCACATCCATGGATGCAACTCTCACTTTCAAATGTCATTAGATACACCTGCAAAAGTAGCTAAAATGTTGCTAAATTCAGAAGGAATTTTACTAAAAGTAGTAGCTAAAATAAAAAAAAATAATAATAAGTATACTCCATATTCCATAATAGGTTTTGTTACTCGTCATTTTTTTAAAACTGAATCTTCATAAGAATATAAATAATGTCCCAATTTTTCTGCGGACCACCGGTTGGCGACCGCTGATCTAGACAGTTGGTTTTCTGATTGAACTCCATTTTATTTTGTAACTTACAAATAGAAAACTTCTCATATTCATGCTTTAAAAATGGCATGCCAAAATGGGATCTAGTATTTGAAATAAAATATTTAATTTCTGAATGCTATATGCAATTCATGCAGGATCAAACTGTTTTAAATATTACAGATGATACTTTTTTTTATAATATATTTTTCAATATTTAATTGAATCATATTTATTTTAAAATAAAAAAAATTTACATAAAGATTAAAGCAGTCTATAAAGTTTATTTTACTCCCTCCTTTAACAAGTAGGTGCTTATATTATTATCTCCCCCTCCCCCCAAAAAAAGGACAAATATGTACTCAATAGCATTTTTTAATTAGATTTAGCACTCATTTCTATGCAGATCATTATTATTTTCAGGGAAAGGACTCGCAATGTGTATCAGATCTTCAGCAGAAAACCTGTAACAGAAGTATATGATACTCTACGAAACATGAAAATTAACTATGTAGTTCTGGAACGAAATTGGTGTTTTGGAAAGAGAAGGTTAGTAATTCTGTTTTATGTGTATTTTTGTTTTGCTTCAAAAGAGTGAACTATGAATAAATGTTTCAAGAGAGTGAACTGTGAAATAAATGCGATATTTTATGGTCTCTCATGTTTTCATAATTACTTTTGTTTTATTATTTATTCTAAGATACTCTTAAATAGTTAAAATTTAATAATTGTTATTGTTTATATTGTACTGTTATGTTTTATTACATTCAATACTCAGAGTTAGAGAATAATATAACAATACAAAGTGACTGTTTGATATTGCCAGGGAAGTCATTAAAATTTTCTGTCACAAAAGGAAGATACAAAGTTCAGACATTATGAAAAACCTGGTTCATTTAATTTTAATCATCACCTGTTTAAAATTTTAATGGCCTGAGGGGAAAGAAATTTATTTCTTCATTAAAGCCATATGGGAAAAGAGAGAACAGAGATATTTTTGTTGTCACAAATTATTTGTGGACTAATTTAATGTAAAGAAATTACATAAAATAATAAAATTAGATTTATTTTAATGAAATGTTTCTCCGGTTACTTATATCTTAATAAACAAACATCTCAAAAAGCCTTTTTTTAGCACCAGAGGCACTGTTGGGATTGAAATTCACATTTTGTCAGTATTACTTTTGTGTTTGGATCACTTTTCAAATTGTTGCCACCAAATATTATCGTGATGTATTATTAAAAAAAAGTAATGAAGAATTAGTACACAAGTATCCTGCAAAAAATGACAGTGCTTACAGCCATCCATTTTTTAATATATGTAGTACTCCACTGGCACATGGGCATCTCAAAGCCCAAATTTGTTTTTAATTTGTTTCACATTTTGTACAAATTTAATGAATTTTTGTTTAATAAACTCAGTAATTTGAAAGCGAGAACTGACAACACTGTCTAAAATAAAACATTTTAATCTCCAGCGCGTCAAACTGTGAAAGCATAAGGTATTTAACTTTCAGATTTAATCTTTCTGTTACTGAGTAACAAACCAAATTGTTGAAAAGCAATAAATGCAGTTCTTAAAAATATTTTTTCTACTTTTTGTTCTGATTGATTTAAATAAAAATGTATTTAAATCATGAAATATCAAATTAGAAATATTAAACATTTTTATGAAATGACACTAAAATCATTACATACTTTTTCTCTTTAAGATAGCTTTTTTTAGGTAGATAGCTTTCAAAAAAATAAAATAACAGATATAAAAATATGTATGGCAAGTCTTAACATTTTATGGGAAATCCTATAAATTTGGTATTTTTAAATATTTACTCTTAGATTTTGTGTTACTGTAAGTGCAGAGAAAGCAGAGCTTAATAATACAGCTAAAAAGACAAAAAAAAAAAAAAAAAAACTGTATTACGAAGAGTGAATCCAAGAGCTGATTGGTAATCTCTACGATGCTCAACTACAGCATAAAAACTTTAACAAATCCTGCAGTGCGACATTAAAATCTGAATATTATCAGATTTTCTTTTATCTTTTGTGAAAGGTAATGTTTTAAATTAAAAATTTGTAATGTTTAAAATAAAATCATCATTTCTCTTACAGGGAAGGTTGTGCTATGGTTGATCTTTGGGATATTGAAGATCCAGAAAACAAAGATAGAGAAAATGTTTGTCAAAAAATAGTCAGAAATCCTTATCCATTTCGTAAAGTATTCAGAAATTCAGTTTATACTGTTCTAAGTTTATAAAACAGTAGACTTAATTTTCTAGTCAAAAGTTATCTTACAGTTTCATTGAATGTTTTTACTATTTCAAAACTACATTATATAAATCAGTGATTGGCATACCAAAATTACTGCATTCTACAAAGCGAGCGAATCTTGGGAATTTATGGAAAAATTGCCCGACTTTAAGATGAAAATTGTGTTTTCCAATTTATAATAACTGCAGTGAACTCATATCAGCTACAGTTTTGCCATGAACAAAACATTCAATTTTATGTAAAAATTTGCTTTTAATCTGTTAGACTTTTGCTGTCACTCGAATGGTGCTTGTATGTTTTCATTGTCTGTAGTACCAAAACATTCCATGCACAATTATCATATGAACATAAATTATCTGTTTTTTGTTTATTTTTTAGAAATGTGATATAAATAGTGTTATTTTATGCTGCAGTTGTAAAGTTTGGATACGTACAGTACAAATTCCAAGATCTGAACGCGTTGGGACTTCGGCGATTCCGGATATTAGATCATCAGTTTAAGATTTTAGACTTTAAAATTAAAAATATGAAATCCTTATGAAATAATAAGCTTTTGATCTATAATTTGAGCTTCATATTTATTTGTTACTTTGTTAACATTTCTTTCAATGCTTTTTTTTTTTTTTTTTTGTGCTAATTTTTCTCTTTATTTTGTAAGGCGACATAATTTTTTATTCAGTTCCAACCCTTTTCCTTTAATTGCTGGGTCAAGAACCGACTAATTCTCAATCTAAATTTTTCATTTTCAATAACCTTTCTGTCACTTTCTTCACTACCGGTAATGGTATTTTCTAGATCTTTAAACTACTTTCACTGTCCTTATTAATCCAGGGTTCGTACAATCCTTAAAAGTCCTTTAATTTTTCAAAAATGTTTTTTGGTCCTAAAAGTCCTTATTTTGGTCAAAATGATAAACGTCCTTATTTTGGTCATTTGACATTTCTTATCATTTCTAATGATTGCCATTCTAAGTGTGAATTGCAATTTCTCATGAATATGAAATTAAAATTACACGACTCTTAACCAATCTGTTGGCGGATTTGCGTTGCAAACGATAAAAAATTAATTACCTAGCCTAGAATGAAAGTATCGGGGTCTGATTGGCTATTCACCCAATGTTTTGAAACAGGTGTTATCCATAAATTTAGGCAGATTGTGACGAAAGCGGGAAGTTCTTTAAGAGGCGAAAAGTGATGATGAAGGTGCTCGAGAAAAAAAAAAGTGGGGGATTCTGAAAATATTTGCCAAAATTAGAACAATTCCCAACCTGGAAGGCCACAACCCCCTCGGACGCCAATAGGAACGAGAATGCCTGGAAAGTGCATTTTCAATAAACTGTGGCCTTCATCAAGGCTGGACTACAAAGACTGGATATTGATGGATGACAAATCCTTTATAAAGCTAAATGGCGGTTCTTTGTCTGAAACAAATTGAAATTTCTAGGAATGGGAGAGTCAGCGCTGAAAATTTCACATGAAAGCTAAGTTTCGTTTTATCATTTCAATTTATTTTTACATGGTTTTGCTTACCTTAATTTCTGTGTTAGTTTGAATTAAGCCATAAATTAATTTTTGATGACCTTCTACGGAGTTTATTCTCTTTTGCACATATATGTTGGGATATCGTGATTAGATTTTTTTCTCCAGAAGGTCTGTTCAATTTCGCGGGAAATCTATTTTTCTCCTTTCGATTTTAGGTCGCCAAGGGCAAATTCGTAACACTACCGAAAAAAGTGAGTTCGGAAATCTTTTTGAAGCTTTAAATAGACAATTAAGTTTTGTTTAATCCTATGCGAAGGTATCCTTGCATAAGGGATTTGGTTACTTTTGGCAACTTTATGATGAGCAGTAAATGGGACATATACGATGGTAGTTAACGGGTCTTTTGGTGTTGGTGATATTTTCAAAATTGCACCAAGGCTGCACCGTATACTAGAATTTTATTAATATTTTTTTAAAAGAATACTGCTTCATAAGACGTTATTGATTTTAATATCGCACATTATCCAATAGTTGGTCATTAAAATTTCATTGTGATAAGATTGAAATTATCTTTTGTTATTAAGCTAATTTCACCTATTTATAACGAGAAATTAAATAAAAGCTAATCCTGAATAAAAAGTCAGTTGAATGATAGGAAAAAATAAAGAAACGAAGATTAATAATTAAGAAATGACCAATAAGCGAATGGTTGATACACGGAGAACGTGTTCATGGTTGCCTATAGCATTCTTATGGCATTTTTAGCGATGTAAGGAATCTCTGCAGGAATGCTTGCCTAGAATATTTCGCGATGTCGTAATTTTTATCGATATAGTACATTTTATAAGTGTTAAAATATAATGCGTAAGAAAATTCATACATTTTTTGTTTAACCATAAAACCAATTATTGCAGAATTTTTATCTTTGCTCCATCATCTGATAGATAAAGAAATAATGTTTTAATTAAATTTTCTGCTGTTACCGATGGTGCAAAATGTCCCAGCAGTTGAAAGAGCCATTGAAATATGGGATGACTTGCTACTATACTTAACAAAGTTGAAATGGGCATTTAAAAGAAAATCATTGAAACCTTCTCAAATATTTTGGAGGCAACTAAGGATAAAACTTTTTTATAAAATAAAATTTTTTCTCTCTCTGTCGAAAATATTATTGCCTTTCCTTTATATTATCAAGCGATAAACCACTTCTTCCCTTTTTTTTGCTGAAGATATTAAAACTGTAAATGATTGCTTTTAACACTTTAAAATTTTGAAACTAGAATATTCAAAAATAACTAAAGCAGAAAATCTGGTACTATTCGGTTTCGAGGGCTGTAAAAAATCGCCAAACTATTGTTGATGCCAATGCTGCCAAAAATAAGTGCGGCAACCCTAATAATTGCGGCAAGAAAGGAAGTACAATAGTAAATAACTATTTAAGATTGATGATTTAATTTAGATGAAAGGTTAATTTCATATAATACATTTTTATTATTATAATTTATATGAAAAAGGCTAAACATGACTGAATGGAAGCATAAGAGTAAATAACTATTTCAGATCATTATTATAATTTATATAAAAATTGCTAAACATAACTGAATGGATGCCTGCATCGCTACTTTGCTACCAACTTATCGCTAAAGCATAATTTCATCTCGTTGGTTGTTCAAAAGTAATTTTCTATAATGAATGATGCCTTTCCTTTGGAAATATTCTCGTTAAAGTGCAGAATCGCTCACTTATTTGTTTGCCGCTTTTTACAAGGGTAAAAACAATTAGATTTTTGTCAATTTTCTTTTTACTTTTTAAGTGAAAATAGGTCGATGTGTACATAGATAAAGTCAAGGGTGTGCGCAGTGCCATTTTTGTGCAATTCTAGGATTTTTTTTAAGTAAAAATAGGTCGATGTGCGCATGGATACCGAGTATTTGCAATTAAAAAACGTGTCAAGCAGTGGGTGATTCTGCACTTTACCCAAAATTCTATTGCCGACTTTTTGTCATGGGCAATTCCCAAATTGTGAAATCCATAGGATATCAAAAAAGGATTTAAAATCAAAAAATAATTTAAAAATTAAACTAGTATTACAATGACGTCTTAAGAAATATAGAACTATCGCAATCTGAAATCAGTGCGTACGCTAGATTCGGCGTGCTGTTAAATGGGCGCGCTTGCTAGATTTGGCGCTTTTGCGCGTACATTTTCACTGCAATTTTTTTACGGCCCTCGAAACCGAATAGTACCGAAAATCTTTATAAATTTAATTTTAATGATCCAAATTGTTATAATGATAAAAGTAAAGTTTATTTGGGATTCATTGCTGAGCAGTTAATGAATGATAAATGCCACAAGAAGAACATTTCACAAGCTGCAAGTTTTGCATTGAAACAAGGGCAACAATGTATCTTAACAATGGTACAACACTTAATGGCTAAATGTCCAATAAATTATTTTCTTATTCGAAATGCATCTTGTATAGACCCACAGTTGATGGCTAAAAGTCCAGAAAAAGCCCAGAACAAAATGAAAATAGTTCTAACCGTATTAACGCGGAATAAACGTGTTTTACAAGATAATTGTGATGAAATTCTGCTGCAGTTTGGAGAGATTCTAGACAAAGTAGTTAAGACAAATTTACATGAATTTTCTACTTTGATTCTCAAAATCTTTCTCTTGACACATTTCTCACTTCTTATTTTCATGATTTTCACTATTCTAAGTATGGAAATAGTGAAAATGATTCTTATCTTGTCACGTGGACAGGCTTGTGGAAAGGGCTCCTCTGTAAATAAAACGTTGAGATTGAAATTTAAGTGACTCATCATACTTTCTCAATGCACAGTATTTGATTACATAAAATTTTCTGGAGGTATTCTTAATATCGAAATTAATAAAGAAATAAGATCAGCAGCAGCTTCGATAGATGCTTTTAGCAGATGAAGCCGAGACCAGCAGGAACATTGATTTGTTTATCAAAACAAATGAACTTAGAAGAATATTTAAAGAAAAGGAAATAGACATAAATAAATTAGAAGTTAAAATATCTGAAAAAAATTTCAGATTTTAAATAAGCATAAATGTTTAATAATAAACTATGCAATAAAAGATACAAGCAATAATGTTTTGTATCTTTTTATTGCATAGTTATTATCTAGTATCTTTCAGAAAAACCAAAGAAAAAATTGTATGTTTACAAATCTGTTATTTTAATCTGCAAAATATTCTTACATTGCAATTATAATAGTAGTTGACTGTGTTTAATAAATATCAAATGTTAATAATAATCATGTAAATCTCTAAAATATCTTTGGGCTATTATTAGTGTGAAATACACTTATACAAGTTTTTCAGAAATTATGTTCTTAATTTAATGTTATCTACTTCATAACTTGTAGGGAGTTTAATTTTCAAAATTGTTTTATGTTAAGTATTAAATTGAATTTAATAATAGTGCATAATACACACCTCTGTTAGTTTCTTAAATGGATAATTGCTTTATTCTATTCGTGTTTTTTTTTTTTTTTTTTTTTTTTTTTTTCTGATAGGTCCTTAATTTTTTCTTTGATGGTCTTTTAAAGTCCTTAATTTTCATGTAAGGAAATGTGTACGAACCCTGTAATCGGGGCATTGTCATTGCAAAGAAAGAAACTTCTGTTATATCATTTTCATTTATTACAGCTTCTCCACATTTCTTTGAAAAAATCCATTAATTGGGAAATTTAGCCTTTATTAGAAATTGATTTGCAATATCTGAAAACCTTCACATTCGCGGCTGTCATATTCATCAACCTCATCATGAAATATGCTAGCTGGCCATAAATTATGCCAAGCATTTTTTTAAAGTATCTGGAGACACATCCTCCCACGATCTTGCGATCCACTATACATTATTGGTTATGTATCATGAGACTGATTACGAGAGACAAGTTGTTCCGCTAAATTTTGTCTTGCTTCTATCGCGCACTGAGACAATTAAGCCTAACTGTATTAGTTTAATTATTTATTATACTTACATCTATTTCTTGCACATGCTTAAGGCTTATCTTAATCCTGAATAAATAAATTCCCACATATACTTAGGCTTATTGTAGCCCAGCGCTAGATATCTTACTGCCTGATGCAGTCTCTGTGGGTTCTAAATTCTGCGAATCAAATGCACATGCTTAAAGTATTTAAAAACAAAAGGTTGGTGGTTTTGAGGTTCGGATATTAGATCATTCCAGATATTGGACTTTGTATTGTATTGTTTTTATACATCATTTTAGTATGTATCTTATTTATTTTGATATCTTTTATTTATTATACTGAGGCCATATTTTCATTTCATACCTATGAAAGGTAAGACTATTGATTTCACAAGGATTGTCTAGATTTAACACATTTTGAACTTAGAATCTTTTCATAAAACTTTCCTTTTCATGTCAGCGAGACTAGTGAACTCCCATTAGTTAATGATAATATGCAATGTCCAATTATTTGTTAATCTTCTACGGATAGAAATCACAAATGATCATAATGACAATGTTATTGTAGGTTACTGATAATTTGTGAGTATGCTAACCCTTTGCATTTTGAGATTCATTCTAAAATATATGACCAAGAAACATTTTTGGCCCATGATTTTTACAATTAATGTAAAACATTTTTCTTCAAGCATCAGTAACTTGTTGTTTGACTTCTGAATTAGTATCAGTAACCTTATTTTTTGCAATGTAAATATTATTGATCATAAGGACTGATAGCCAAAGAAATGAAAACTACTGTTAATTTCTTTCTTTGAATGATTCCATGTACATATTGAGCAAATTTCGAATGTTGCACCTGACTGACTTTTAAACTATTCTTTGTGTAACCTCCTTGTACTATGGACAACATATCGTTTTTGCCCTTTAACTTGAAGTGTAGTATTCTAGGTAATGCAGACAAAAGGTACAAATAAAATTTATTGAGTTGCTTGTGAAATCTTAAGAATGAAGAAATACTTAGATATTTACAATACAATAGATTTACTAACTACACAAATTGGCTTCAGATTACTCATGATCTCTAAGTATAAATTCTTGCAAATGTCAATAATCAGTAACTGAAAGACTATGGATAGGCAGCTCATGAAATAACTTGTGTTGCCAAACAATCTTCATAAATTTACATCTTTAACCTATGCTTTGAAAAGAGATGGAAGAGCTTGTTATTTAAATCCTACTTAAACTACATTCTAATGAGGCTGATGGAAAAAAAATAGGAAAGAATTAACATAAAAATGATGTGTTCATTAACATAAACCATACGATAGCATGCTTGTGTAAACCTTCCTTCTTGCTTATATTGTACAATAACTATCTTTTCTTGTTCTCCCTAATCACACAAATATGAAAAGAGTAAGTAGGTAACAATTAATAAACCTATCCCATCACATAATGGCTTATCACATACTTTATTAAAGAAAGCTGAAATATTTTTACAAATGTAGAAAGAGTAAGCAAACTAAGATGGTTGCACAAATGTAAAAAAAAAAAAAAAAATCTGCAAGCTAAAAAATAAACCTATCCAGTCAAATAATGGCATATTGCATTTAAATCAAGCTAAGATAACCACACAAATATGAAAGCAAGCTAAGATAACCACACACCTGAATTAATTTCAAAAAATTAATTCTAAAACTGTAACTGCATTCTTAAGGTACTTGTACAATTAAAACAAGTAATGTTTTAATTTTTTTGGTAAATATAGCTAAGTATGTGCATAAAAAATTACACCATTTAGCCTAAATATATAAATTCGAGTTTCTTAAACTGTGGGTCGGGACCCCAGTTGGAGTCGCAAGATCTGCAGTAGGGGGGTCACCAAACATTTTAGCAATTTTGATATTTTTTAACTTCTTATAATAATTTTACAATTACCAAATACTTTTGCATAATGTATCTGGAAATAGATAAAGATAAGACAATATAGATAAAGAAAAAATGGGAATGTTTTGATGCATTTTTTTTTTTTTTTTATAACAGAAACGTTTATATTACAGTACAAGGTGGGAAAAAACTGACAGTTTCCCTCACACATGTGTCAGATTTTTGCAATACTTATAGGGTTTCCACAAAACTTTTGTAAATATTATGTGTTCTCCACACTAAAAAGTTTAAGAAACCCTGATATAGACTCTTCAATATGCAGCTGCTAGATATGATTATCTGGCTGCACTAAAAGAGTCTGCATGCCGCCAGAGTTCTGTCAGCAATGCATAAAAGCATTAACTTAATGGGAAATGTTAATGATGAATTAATTAATAAATTTAATTAATTAAAAATACAGAATTTGATTACTCCATCCTGATTATATTTGCTGGTCAATTATATGAATTTTTTTAGCTGTATATAAATATCAGAATTCAAGCTTAATTTAATCCCGCTTTCAGTCTTTATCAAAGATTTTACAAATTTTGTTTTTGCATTAGCAAGACTTTGCACGGCAGTGTAAAACTGTTATATTGCATTTAAATGTGTAAAATCTGAGTTATAAAAAAGATCTTCATTCCATACTTACATATCAGAGGAAAAGTATAAAATTTTATCTGTATAGAATTGTATCTTCTAATTATACTGTCAGTAGCCTGTGCCAACTAGTTTTTTCAAAACTTTTTTACAAATATGTATTTCATATGACTTTTTGTATTTGTGAAGTGAACGTTGTTTTGTCAGTTAAATAAAAGTTTATATACTGGAAACATTTTTTTATTTATTGCTTAGTGCTAATATATACATCACAGAATTTCCTGTTCCAATTTCACAAAGGCATATAAATATAATTCAACTCGAATCAAATTGCACAGGCTTTAAAAATTTTCCAGTGAATAATCAAATTTTATTACTTCAAGAAATAATTATTAAATGTAAAATTTTTTAGCACTACAGGAAATAAATTGTCTTGAAATTAAATAGGTTAACAATTTTTAAGAGCAATATACATTTCTACATTTTTAATGTACAATATTGTAGTGAAATTGTGGAACCACTTCCCATAGACAAACACTTCAAATGATCCGACCAATCTCCTCTCCTAGGAACCACCTCTACAAATGATCAAAACTGTCTGGAACCATGAATGGTCATGTTAAAAGAAATTTCACTGGATTCACGTATTTTGAGGAACAGAAGCACAGCAATCTGAAATTTAAAATCAAGCAAAATTTAACTTAAGATTAATATTATGTAGTTGAGAAATAATATGCATTTAAAGGCAACTGATATAATTCCTTTTACTTCCAAGGGACTAAATGCTTAAAATAGCTGATTTGGGTTAGTCTTCTCAAAATCATAACTCTCCTGAAACACTGAGAATATCAATTTGAGGTTTGATTTTGTATACTTTTAAATATTTAATCTGTAATCTATCTTGCTTTTGATTCAAACTTAGCAAATATATAAATAAGCAATTATTATATGCAATTTACAAAATTCCTTGTAGCAATTGCATGTAATTATATTCTCAGTTTCACCATACATTTTACACAACTGGCATAAATGTCATGATTTACACCTATCACTCTAATTACACATTTTCATCTAAAATACATATTGATAATTAGCATTTGTCTAGATAATGGCAAATTGCAGCTTTTTTTTAATGGAGTATTATTTCAGCAGCACTTTTCAACATCATTATGCTTGTCCTCTTTAAACTGTTTCTTTTTATCCAAATTGTATATGAGCAAAAATTACAAAGTCTCGATTTTTCTACATTGCACCAATTATAGATCTTGATACATATGTTCTGCTTAATAATACTCGCCTTACCTTTGATACAGAATGCCATATGTTTACACTTAGCATTTTGATGAATTTTTAATGCACGTTTTCCAAGACAAAGAGAAAAGAGTTAAAGAATATTTGAAATTTTGCTTTTCTGGAAAATATTGAAGTGAAGATAATTTTGTTACTGATCTGTCTGTCCTAATCAATTTTCAGATATGAATGTTTGCAAAGCAAAGGTGAATAATCCATTCAAAGAATACCTTTAATTTTATAAAATATTTAAAGAATGCAATGCTCCATTCAGATGGCAGAACTTTGATAGCATTTTTACTGAATCAAAATAAACTGAAAATGATTAGAAATTTCCATTCCTGAAAAAAGAAATCATCTATAAGTTGATAAGAGACTTTCTAAATTAGTAATGCACTACTTTCCTTTACCTCAGTATTAAAATTTTCAAAATTTCTATCACCGCATTAGCCTTGAATTGTTTAACAGACCCATATACATGAGCAGACATATCTCTGAACAAATCTCCCTTGCAGACATGTTATCTGTCAGTATTTCATTTTCAAAGAGATTTTGTATCTAAATTGCTCTGAGCTACTATGCCAATTAGAGCAGTCAAAGCAGATGAAGTGATTTTGTATCCAGAAGACCCCCATCAGTTTCACAGGATGCATAATAATTTAATAATTTGCAAAGTTTTCAATACTTTTATTTTTAGGGCTTCATTTTTTAAATAAGTTGTAATAATAAACAAAAGACTATGTAATGTAACAGTAATTAAAATGCAAAAATAAAAAAAAAATTGAAAATAAAATAATAATAATAATAATGAAGCTGAAAAGGTAAAGAATCAAATTCAGTTACTTCATATATAGCAAAAAATGTAAAATATATTGCTGATAATTAGGTTTCCAAAAAAACATCATTTTTAAATAAATGAACATGAAAAGCACTTTATCAATAACAAAAATCAAACATAATAAAATTTTTTAAATTTTATATATAATAATAAAATTTTTAATATTAACAGAACTCTAGAAACAATAAAATTTTTATTTTCCATGGAAAAAATCAAAAGGACCCTGAAAGATATTTTACAAATGAGTAATGCACGATAGTGCCTTGTTATTGCAAATTTACCTCAAGATTTGTCTGAACAGAAATTGTTCACTATGCCAGTGCTATTCTGAAGCAACTAATAATCGTATATTCATTTTTTTCATTTAAAAAAAATCATAATATGAGACAATATGAAATACAATTTAAGTAAAGTAGGGTAGTGAATTATGGTGGAACTGAATTAAGCTTGAAAAACCTGCTAACATTATGTGTTTGCATGTATATGATCAGAAAGCATAAAAAATAAGCTAAAATTCAGATTACATTTTTAAAAATATGAAAAAAAATTTTGTGTAACATGAAATAAACATTAAAAAATAGTAATTAAGAATACGGAAAGTAAATGTGGTATTGTGAACAGATGATGCAAGAAATATGTTAAAATTCAGAGTGTATAGGAATAAAAGATAACCTTTTATGAAATTGTGATGTCAAGTTTCAGTCCTTCCTCTTATCAGATGGCTGGCTTTGCACCCTTTCATGTGGGTTTACATTGTATACTGCCCCTGGTGCTTAACCAATATTGTCATGCTACTCATGAGAGTGTAATAATCCCTTTAAACAGGAAAAAGTACATCACTCTATAGCTTACAATAGCAAATCATTTGTATCATGGTGAAAAAATATTCAGTTTATAAAGAAATCAATTGGAAATTATCCAAAAGAAATATCACATCATAAATTAAGTTTGTTAAAATAATAATGAAAACTCCACGAGTCGTATGTTATTCAGTAAGCTAAATGCTGGGAGTAGCCACCATTGCTTTTTGGGCAGGTGATTTCCATACATGATTGCCACCAAATATGTCTCTGGTGACGATGCATTCCCTCATGCGACATGATCATGACTCCTAGTGCAGGTGTTGCAGACATGTATCTAAAGCACCAAAGAAAGATATGTCTCCTTGTATAGATACTCTGGTGCATGTGCCGCAGACATCCAGAAATACACGTTCAGAGATATGTCTCCTCATGAAGACAGGCCTTAAAAGAACTTGAATGAGAGAACCTAGTGAATTCTTTGACTCGGTGGTCACAGATACCATATGATAATCCAAGAAATGCTTATTGTACATCTTGGGTCTCCAACCCAACCAGATGTCACATCTGTTTTGCAGGGCATTTAAGAACACAGAAAGATAATGCTTTAAATTTTAAAATATTCTGTAAGTGTTTTTCTGCCATCCTCACATCAAAGAAATGTGGATTATAACATTTTAAACATAGACGGTTTAAAGAATGAATAACTTTTCAGTTAAAACTTAGAAAAATTATGGGAAAAATGAAAAAACATTTAACCTGTCAGCAACGTACTGGGATAAAATCCACCTAACCTGTAACCTTTTCTTAGAAAATAAGGGAAGGTCGTATGTGACCTTTCCAGTACTTCTTGTATCTGTCAAGGTTTAGAAGGGATCATCCAGAAGAATTTTTCTCGTGTCCTTGGGATTTTGTGCTTTAGCAGAAGGAATGTGAAATGGGATTGTAGCTACCCCACATGTGTGCTAACATTTCACTTCTAGAGAGACATTCATTGAGATGAATGCATACGAGCGAGAACAGCAACAACTGCAGGATCTTCTCGCTAGTGTTGAAACAGTTAGTGAAATTGAAAATTCCAATTCTGAGTGCGATAATATTTCTGAAAGTGCTCATAAAACTGAATCTGACAATTCACATGATTTAGGAAGGATATCTTCTTTGACATCAGATGATTTTTTAAGTGGGAAAAGACGGAGCAAAAAATTATCTGTGAAAAATGTTCGGACACGGTGGCACAACATAGTGACACATTTACCTGGTGTCAAGAAAAGCTTTAGAAATTTGAAAATGCCAACTGAATGTTTATTGCAAATTTTTGATGATGAAATAACAGAAGTTTTGGTGACATAACAAATATTTACATTTCATCAATAAGAAGCAAATTCTCTAGAGAACATGATGCACAAGAGACAAACGTAACTGAACTGAAGAGTTGTTTCGCCTGTTATATTATACTGGAGTGCTGAGAGCAGCACATCTCAACGCAAAAGATTTATGGTCAAATGACAGAAGCAGAATAACTATTTTTTAAATAACATTGTCTCTCAACCAATTCCACTTCCTGTTGAGGTATATTAGGTTTGAAGACATAAATTCACGAGAACAGCGAAAGATGACCATTTCAAGAAAGGTGTCAATTCAGACAATATATAAAAAGTAAGCTCGCAAGATATGGAATAAAAAATTTTGCTTTGTGCGATTCTTGTATACTTTACACATACAACCTAGAAATTTATGCAGGTCAGCAGCCTGTCAGACCACATAGACAATCAAATGCAGCATTGGATATTGTACAAAAATTTATTGTACCCATAAGTGACACAAGAAGAAATATAACTATGGACAATTGGTACATGAGCATTCCTTTGGCGAATAATCCTTGAAAAAGTACAAATTGACTTGTGTTCGAACACTTTGAAAAGCATGAAATTCCACAAGGATTTCTGCCAAATAAAAACAGGTCTCTATACTCTTCACTTTTTGGGTTTAGAGCTAATGAATCAACTCTTACATCATATGTTCCAAAAAAGAGTAAATTGGTTCTTATTCTATCATCCATGCATAAGGATAATCAAATCGATCCATTGTCAAAAGAGCAGCTCAAACCCGAAATGATAACTTTTTACAACTCTACAAAAGGTGATGTTGATACTGTTGATGAGTTATGTGGAACTTACTCTTTTTCAAGAAAATGCCACCATTGACCTCTAATGGTATTTTTTGGACTAATGAACATTGCAGGTAAAAATGCTTTTATTATTCATTGATCAAACAATGGCCAAGTGGATTTGAACCGAAAAGCTTTTCTCAAAGATTTAGCATTAGAGCTTGTGAAAGAGCATCTTCTAAAAAGGGTTGCAGTTCCATCTCTCTTGAAAGAACTCAAAACTGGTGCAAAAAGGTTGGCAGGAATAGAAGATGCAGCAGACCTTCAACCTAAGAAACTCCAAAGGTCTTCAGGACAATGTGATATGCTCAGAAGAGACAATCGCAAAACCTCTGTATCTTGTACAAACTGGTTTGTAAAATACATGTTGTCACATTATGTGAGGATTGTTCAAAATGGGATAATTTGAATAATTAAACTCAGGTAAAAGGGAAAAAAGAAGCTATGTGTTATTTTTTTAAATATTCATATTTAGAATCCATTCCTTGATATGAATAATTTTATGACATTATATTGAGTTTTAAGGAGAAAACGCTAGTAAGAATGTGGCCTTTTCATATTCCTCTAGTGCTTTATCAAACCACTCTTTAAAATAAATACTTAAATTTAAAAGATATGTACATATGAAAGTTGATTTTTCTAATATAAGAAATCATATATATATTTTAAATAAGTTAGTAATTTTGCATAAATTTCGATTTTTATGGTTTACTTTAGGTAATCAATATGGAAATGTGTGTATAATTTAAAGTAAGATTATCTCGAATTAAAACTGGAAAAAAAGTTTCAACAGAATTCACATAGTTATTAGTCATTTATACATTCATTTTTAAAAAATGCATTTATTTATACGGGGGGGGATGACTCCGAACAACGAACACTGGGGTAAAATTTGTCCCGCGCGTATGCTGAAAGGTTAAGTAAAATATATCAATAAAGTTCATAATATATGATTTTTCATATATTTGGAGGTTCGCTATAGTTGTATAGAATGTCATAAATTTTGTACTTACATAGGTAATTTTAGTGCTGTTATATGTGAAATTGTTGATTTTTCTGTGTAATGTAACATAAAAAATATTGAGTAAATAGGTATCTCGGTAATTTAGTGAGATATCGCAAAGCTGGTGCCGGTTTTGGTGACTAATTTCCGCCATCAAACTTGGTGACATTTTGGTACCTAAGCTTACAACAAACCCCACTGTCTTGAAGTAAAAAAACCACTGTCTTGAAAAAGACAGACCCCACTGTCTTGAAATAAAAAAAATTGCAACTTTAACAAAGCGAAAACAAATGAGAATGAGAAAGCCAATTTTCGTTTCAGCGCCATTTGTAAAAGGCCACCAGCGAAGAAAACAACAATGCCCTAACTGCTTCCACTGTTAGTAAAAAGCCATAAACCACGTGTATCCTCGCAACCGTTTCCTGCCTTTGTTACGCTACAGTTATTAAGAATACTCTTTTCACCAAATTAAAATATACATGAGTACAAATAAAAAAAAAAAACTTGAATAATGATAACTTAAAACATATATTAATATAATTAAAATTTGCGACATAATATTTATAGTTAAATAGCTGATAATTAGGGGGTTTTAAACTTTTAAAACCTTAACTCGCTTAAGGTGCCGGACAAACACTCAAAAATATATAATCATCATAAGAACAATTGTATGGTGGTAGTACAAATTAAATTTTAGATTCGCGTTGTGAGAATACCTAAGTAAAAGGAAAATCAATCACACCAAATTCAATAAAGCTCCATGTTTCTTAAAAAGCCTCCCAGCTCAAACAAATGGTGGGACATGACAGAACCCCCCCCCCCAAAAAAAACAGACATGATTAAACATACACATTTATTGATTTCTAGAATAAAATTATATTACTAAATATTGGATAACTAATCAGTCAATCCTACCACATATTTAACTATGAAAAGTAACATATATTGTCACACACAATTACAGCTTACAATAATTAATAAACCTTAAGATGAAAAATAACACTCATTCATTCCCAAAATCAACATACCCGCTTACTAATTAAGCTGGTAACACAAATCTTTAAACCTTCATTTTCAGACTTCAGGTTAACTAGTCATTATTCAGAATATTCTAATCACTTAGTAGTTTACACATATAAAACAAATGTTTTTCTTCTAAGTAATTTGAAAAGATAGAGAAGTAGACAAATTTAAAAAATAACTCACAGATTTGCTGGAACATATAATCTTGAGAAAAGCATCCAATTTTTCTCATGGAGGAAGTCTATTTCCTTGAGTCAACACTTTGTTACAGTTAATAAACTAACACTACTAGCGTTTGAAGTCCATTTTGTAAAATATCTGGAAACGGGGTGAGTCCTTTTTGTAAAAACCGCCAGATCAGGGAAAAAGTTCACTTCGAACAATTTCTGAGTGGAATGTCTAAGCGTCAGGAACCACGTATCGGATAGTAATAACCCACACCCCCCCCCCCCCACCCCCCCCCCCCCCCCCCCCCCCCCCCCCCCCCCCCCCCCCCCCCCCCCCCCCCCCCCCCCCCCCCCCATCCCCCCCACCCCCCCCCCCCCACCCCCCCACCCCCCCCCCACCCCCCCCCCACCCCCCCCCACCCCCCCCCCCCCCCCCCACCCCCCCCCCCCCCCCCCCCCCCCCCCCCCCCCCCCCCCCCCCCCCCCCCCCCCCCCCCCCCCCCCCCCCCCCCCCCCCCCACCCCCCCCCCCCCCCCCCCAGCCCCCCCCCCACCCCCCCCCCCCCCCCCCCCCCCCCCCCCCCCCACCCCCACCCCCCCCACCCCCCACCCCCCCCCCCCCCCCCCCCTCCCCCCCCCCCCCCCCCGCCCCC